GTGAAAAATGCACAGAACAGTCTAATGCCAGACAGAATCAGTGGAACCATTCTGTCCTGCATAGGGGGCAGTCGTGGGCTGGAGGTTAGGGACCCAGCCTTGTGACCGGAAGGTCGCCGGTTTGATCCACAGCTTTAGGTAAATGTATTAAAGCTACGTTCACTCAGCAGGTAAAAGTGGCCCAAATCTGATCTTTTTCTTCATGTGTGACACAGATGTGTGTCTGTGTGAACAGATAAACACACTGAATCTGACATTTTCAATTCCGATTTGAGACGCTTTCATATGTGGTACTGAAATCCGATCCGTATCCGATCTGCAGCAGTGCGACTCAGTCTGAACACCCAGATCGGAATTCGTGCGGCTTTTACGTCAATCCAACTCTACATTCATCATAATTTCGCGCTGCTGAGACTCATAAACATTTGGGGTGATATAGCTGTCCAAAAATTAGAAGAGACTCATCCAAAACCCTCCGTGTTCGAAGAGATTAATAAAGAAATGTCCGAACGCGTCAAAGAACGGTTTAAAGTCTAAAAGCAAAGTTTAAAGAATCCGAGGACGCAAACCAAAGAAGTGGCCGTGGCCTTTTAACGGTGAGCTGAACACATTCTGGGTGATGAGCCCAGCTGTCAGTCAGTGAAGCTTCATGATGGCTCCTGTGATGCTGGTGAAGATGAAGCTGATCCTCCGGGAGCGACTGGCGTTCGTTGGCGGTTGTGATTGTTCACCTCTGGATGAGCCGTGAAGCAGCGTGAATCACTAATGTTGTGCACGTGTGGGTCAGTTTAGGAGCTGATCTGTTCAGACTGACGTCGCATACAGATCACATTTAAAAGATAATCTGAACAGCCAAACAATTTGGTGAGAAAATCAGATTTGGGCCACTTTTACCTGCTGTGTGAACGTAGCCTAAGTCGAGGAGTGACTGCAGTATGGTGTAGACTGTGTAGACTCAGGATTTGAACTACAGCATCTGAATTTTGACATTGTTAGACCACTAAGTAAGGCCAAATCCCATTTCACCCCTTGTCCCTACCACCTAGCCCTACCCCTCCGTTTTGTGCGTTCTCGTCTAGGGGTAGGGTGTCCCGATTCTTGTGGAAATAGAGACGGCTGCACAAGTGACCAAAGAAACTCACAAATGTGAGAATTTTCCCTGTTAAAAACATGATAACCATTATATTATCTTAGTTTAATGTCGTTTCAATGTATTTGGTCGTTTTCTTCATAACAAGCATAAAATTGCCAGTAATATGCTGATGTCTCGGTGGCTAAATTTCCTGTTCCACCTTAAATTAAGCTGCAGTTACATTCTGGAGCCTCAGGCATCAGAACTGCTGCACCGTTTAAGGTGGAACGGGAAAATTTGAAAGAGAATCTGGAGAATATCTGACTTCAGCTTCATATCACTGAAGAATTAGGGGTGGGTGATAATAAATAATTGCCCCCCTCTTTGAAGGCATATGATGCCCTAAATGTAACTAAAGCCCAGCAGTGAGGAGCTGAACTTTACCCTCCTCTGCTGTCACTGCAGACTGGCAGGGTCGCCTACAGAGCAGCGCTGGTAGCTGTTAATGAAGTGATGCTCTTTTTATTTGAGGGTCCCATTTCAGAGGGAAGATTTCATCCACTACCCTGTAACTCAGTTCCAAGGGGTGACACTCTAAAACAAGGGGTAGGGGTAAAAATAAGAAATGGGACTGGGCCTAAGAACTATTAGCTGATCAAAAATGCCTTGCTGAAAACTGAATTAAGAAAAGAAGGGTAAAAATGCAAATGGACACCTAGTTTGGTACCACAACTTTACATTTCTTTATTATATTCTTCATTTGTGCTTACACTGAAAAAATAGCATATAGTTTTCTTAAAAAAAATCCATTTCATATAAAGGTCTCCTTCCACAAAGTCATTTCACTTTCCAAGTCAGCTGCGTGTGAGAATATATTACTACATACAAAGATCAACGAGAAAATACAGAATACAATATATTAAAGCTGTCAGACACGTTGTCCTTCTATCTCTCAAAAAAGCAAAAATGACTCGTTGATACGCGCAAAAACAAAATACATGAAACGTCTGAAAAGGTTTAAAGACCGAATAAAGCTTATAAACACAGGAGTGCTCAGCGAAGGGCTTTAGTAAAGTAGAAGCTTTGGCGAGTTTCTTTTTTGCTTTAATGTCGTCGTTCTTGTTAACATGAACAGGAAATACAATACAAAAGAAATGGGCGGAGAAAGTTCCCCTGCTTGTCTTTCTCTGTAGGATGAATATATCTGAATAAAATGTTCCATTACATACAATAGCAGGGGTTAAAAGTCTTATGGATGGAGGTTAACTGACCCATGACGAGGACTGCAGCGTGATGAGAAAGCTCGTCACTGTTGTCTGGTTGGTGACCAAAGCCGGTTTATGAGGAGTCTGGCCACTTCTTATTTCCCCTATTATATCAGAGGGCGCCCGCGAGCGAGTCCTCAATGAATGGGAGTAAATGGAGCTCAACAGCTAAAAACGAAAAGTAAAACACTAAAATAAAAGCAAAGACGGGTTTTGGGCAGCAGAACGCTGGTATTACTGCTACTGAGTGCTGATTGGTTGGTGAGCGAAGCAGCTCATTGGCTGTTCACACTCACAGATGTCATGAATGTACATGACGTGATGTGTAATCTGCTTCATGCTCTTTTAGGAACTCTGGGTCTGAGCTCCATTTCTCTATGGTCAGAATGAATAAGTCACCTCTAGCGCCCCCTGTGTTAAATAAACATGTTCAGAACCCGATTCGTTCTGTCCTGTGAACATTCTTCTCTCGAACACCACTGGATCCTCTGAATTACGAGGTCGTAAAGAGTTGAAATATGAATATTGCTACATGTGAGCTAAAGCTACTGCGCTCTGAATTCACGTCATTAGACTGGCGGCCTCCTTAATCAGGCTTTGTCGGTGTACATTTCCATGTTCAGACTGAGGGCAGCTGAAAAGAAGTCAGAACAAAATCAGTTCTCTGTTCTTCACCTGATTCTCACTGAAACACCACAGATCTCTCCTTTTAGCTGGATTTGAAAAGATCTACAAACGAACCTGAACTCGGGCTGATCCAGTACAGACTCAGCTTAATATCACTGCTCACCCTGATAAACTGATTTAGGCTCTCAGAATATCCTCATTATTATTTTAATACTGGGAACATTTTTCTGAGGACATTCGCCAGCTTTTTGTTTGACTTTTCGCGTTCTGAACTGCTGCGCCATTTAAGGTGGAACGGGAAAATTCGAACAAGCAGCCGGAGAAAAAGAAGCTGACTCAGCTTCATGGAGGGTTGAAAGGCCTGATATGAGGAGGTTTCACTATTAACGCTTAACAGAGTAACACTAACTTATTTTTGCTGTTTCACAGAACCGACAGGTCAGTCTTTTGTCTCGTTTGCTGATGTTTGTGACAGCCAGTCACAGCTGCTACACCATTTAAGGTGGAACGGGAGCATTCAATCAAGAAGCTGTGAGAAAAGACGCAGAATTCAGCCTCGTAGTTTAACACAGGGAGTATTTTTGATAGGGAGTTTTAGCCTCAAAATATCCCACCCAGAGGTTTTATTTACAGGTATACAGTGACATCAAATTGATGCGCAGTAGCTTTAGCTTGAATGTAGCAATAGTAGCATTATAGCTCTTTAACAGCTTGTAATTCAGAGGATTCAGTGATATTTATGAGCAAAATGTTCACAGGACAGAACGGATCGGGTTCTGAACATGATTATTTAACACAGGGGGCGCTAGAGGCGATTTTTCGAAAAAACCCTATTCATTCTGGCCCATAGAGAAATGGAGCTCAGACCTGGAGCTCCTAATATGGGCATAACGAGGTCTACAGAATGACGCACTACAGTGGTCCATTGTAAACTCCTGTAACTCGAGTTTAAAAGCTCTTAAAAATACAACAGCAGTGTTAAAATGTTTTAAGCTGTTCAGGAAATGAATGTATTCTTCTACATTAAACATGTTTAAGCATTTATAAACTATGATTTTGCTCAAAGGCTCCGCTCTTTTTGGGCTTGCTCGGGAGCGCCCTCTAGCGTTTGAGAATCCCAGAAGATGTCACATAGCGGTAGTGCTCCTCTCTAAAACTTCTCTGGTGTGACTCCGTTTCTGGGAATGGCTGAAGGACAAAATGTATTTCCTGCCTGGACTTTTATCAAATTCTCTCTGAAAGAAAAACGCTCACTATAGACTTCCGATCAAACATTTTACGTTACATTAAAATCCTTCTTCGCCTGGTATACGCACAACACGGGCCGCTGTGCCCCTCCCACCCCTTTCAACAAGCCCCGCCCACTCCCGACCCCGCCCATTCGCCTCAGACTCTCTCTGACGTTCTGCTGTTCTTCCACTGTGGGCCACAATACACATGCATGGCGCCTACTGTCCACTCCACAAAGATAAACTGGACCAGCTACATCCAGAGGTGAGTCCAAACGAGTTCTGCCCGCTCGGTTCCATGTGCTTAAACAAATTCTACTTTTCTGATTATCTTTAAATTATAATACTTGTTATATTGGTAAAGAACAGAATCTACTTTTTTCACTCTGTTCCATTTGTCAATGTATCGACCCTCTTAAAAGAGTCGGTTCTTCAAGGGCTCTTTACTAAAGGGAACCATGAGTTCTATATTGATTCTGTTCTATTCTTCGGATTGGTGGAGAAGGTGTTGTGGTTCTAAATAGCACCAAAAAGGGTTTTTCTATAGTTACAAGCTTGACATCGTAACAACAGGACCGTTTTTGGTGATACGTACAACCATGTACAACACATTCTCCATCAATTTGAGGAACCATTTCACTACACGAAGAACTACATTTCTAAAGAACCCTTGAAGAAGCATCTTATTTAACAGTGTAAACCCTAATCCCTTTTTCTGATGCTGCCTCTGACCCACTTTTTAGCTCTAATGTTTTATTTTACACCAAAAGGACCCTAAAAAGAAGGACCCTAAAAAAAGGGACCCTAAAAAGAGGTGATTTCACGCCAAAGGGACCCTAAAAAGAGGCTTCAGTTTCTATACTGATGCTGAATCTACTGGAAAGGTCCACTGCAGTTCTATAAGGAGCTCAGTATTTTTTGTACTGTTTGTACCGAGTTGTTTTTGACCTGGTACTATTTTCACACTTTTACACAAGATTTTTGACTTTTATCCTTCGGGCAGCTGCTTTTACGTCTGCGCTCAAGCTATTATTTCACTGAAGTAACAACACTTTTACTTGAGGATGGTTTTGGGCTGCACGACACACCTCTGGTTACAGCAATCAGTTATTAAAAGTACTCACTACTGCTGCTGTCTTGTATCTGGAACAGTGAAATACAAATAATACATACAGAAAGACATTCTATATAACAGAACTACACCTGTTGATTGTCAGCTGCAGAGATTATGATCTTCCTCTATACAGTATTGTTTTATTCTGAGTGCACGTGAAACACTAATGCCTATATTTATCATACTGTAGAAAGGAATCAACAGTGCTTAATATATTCTGAGTTCACATGAGAATGAATCTGAGTTGTTTACTAAGTTTCTGAAAACAGACGTCACTTTCTTCCTGTTTCGTTCTGATTTGGTCTTAGTTTTGGTGTGAACTGTGAAGTCTTTCCCCTGCAGGACAAAACAATATTTTCATAGGTATTTTGGAAACTTCTAAGCTGTTAAACCTTTTAACTGGACGGCCACTTTTCTGCCCTGGGACTTGAGGGACGTCTGCTACTACAGCCTTGTAGTGCCTTTAGAACGACGGTGCTGTGTGGAGAAAGAACTCGTCTGTTTATAGAACTCCATCTCCCTCCTTCCTCCTCCTCCTCCTCCTCCTCAGCTTCTACCGTCTCTGTGGCCCCAGCATGACTTTGTTGATGAAGTTAACGATGGCGGTGGCCGGCTGCTCGGGGTCCAGCTCGGCAAACAGGTGACACACGTTCTCCGCCACGCTGCCTGGTTTCTTAGCAACAAAGCCGAACACTCTATTAGGAGACAGAGAACCACAGGCGAGGCGTTAGAATGAGGTGTACATGCACTGATAGAGAGAACATCTGAGAACAAATGAGAAGATTTATTCATATTTTTAAAAATACTTAAATAATCAAAAGGGATAAACATGCACCCACCTGTCTCTTCATTAAGTACATCTGCTTGTTTCTGCGCTCATTGTCCATTTTATCAGCTCCACTTACTATATAGGTGCACTTTGTAGTTCTACAGTTACAGACTGTAGTCCATCTGTTTCTCTGGTACTTTGTTAGCCCCCTTTTACCCTGTTCTTCAGTGGTCAGGACCCCCATGGACCCTCACAGAGCAGGTACTATTTGGGTGGTGGATCATTCTCAGCACTGCAGTAACACTGACTTGGTGGTGGTGTGTTAGTGTGTGTTGCGCTGGTCTGAGTGGATCAGACACAGCAGTGCTGCTGGAGTTTTTAAACACTGTGTCCACTCACTGTCCACTCTATTAGACACTCCTACCTTGTCAGTCCACCTTGTAGATGTAAAGTCAGAGACGATAGCTCATCTGCTGCTGCACAGTTTGGGTCGGTCATCCTCTAGTCCTTCATCAGTGGTCACAGGACGCTGCCCACAGGACGCTGTTGGCTGGATATTTTTGGTTGGTGGACTATTCTCAGTCCAGCAGTGACACTGAGGTGTTTAAAAACTCCAGCAGCACTGAATCCACCACCCAAATAGTACCTGCTCTGTGAGGGTCCATGGGGGTCCTGACCACTGAAGAACAGGGTAAAAGGGGGCTAACAAAGTACCAGAGAAACAGATGGACTACAGTCTGTAACTGTAGAACTACAAAGTGCACCTATATAGTAAGTGGAGCTGATAAAATGGACAATGAGTGTAGAAACAAGGAGGTGAACTTAATGCAGTGATTTTCTTGTATTTTCAATTTAGCTCTTTTGCTAACAATATAAGCCAATTAGAGCAAAAGAGGTAAAAACATTAAAGGTAAAAGTATTAAGAAATTCTGAAACTTATGTAAAAATATATAAATATATATATATATATATATATATATATATATATATATATATATAATGACCAATTTTGTATAAATTAGAAAGAATAAGCATTTCCACTAGTGGACTTTTGTAAACAAGTTCAACATCAATATCAATATTAATCAACATTATGAAAAATCAATGTATCAGTATTATTATCAAATGTTCGTGAATGATGCATTTCAACATTTCACCTAGTGAGAGTTCAGCAGATGAGTGATATAAAAGCGCAGACCAGCACAATAACATATAAACGTCACTTTGAAGGGAAAAGCAGTTGTTTAGATGAAGCGAATCTGAACTGATGAGTAATTCAGTTTGGAAAAGCTCAGAGAACAACATGCCGAGCGCATAACCAGCTCGTGATCAGATCACTAAAGCTGACGTCACACACAGTCACCAGCAAACACAGACGGACACACTGAGCACTTACTTAGACGTTGTGTTGTCTGAGTTAGTCCACCTACGGCAGGAGGGGGAGACAGAGACAAAGACTCAGAAACAGACTCTCTCACTCACACAGACACACAGAGCTGCAGGCAAGGACACGAACATGCTCCCCTCACCCAGACGGGCACTTTGGGACCGAAAGTAAACCGTGTTATCAGTAACATTCGTCGAGATTTGTCCAGCTGTAGCTGTGACGACGCTGCTTCATGCTGAGCGTTCTAACATTACTGCCTCTTCAGGCACAGGAATCTAAACACCTACAGCGCTGTGCAAGAGTCAGAGAGCACCCTTCGTTTATTAAATTTCCATTAAGCACAAGTCGTTCACTTTCGGGATATTTCTGAAGAGATTTGATGAAGAGAAAGTCAAAATATTAAGTGAAAAAAAAATGTGTTTCCAAAACTGGAGTTCAGAAACTCTTAGAGGACACCAGAGGTGGGAACAAGTGACTTAGTTGCAAGTAACTCTTCACACTCGAGTCACATCAAGTGAGTCGGGCCTCGATTCAAGTCCTGAGTCAGCACAGGCGAGTCTCAAGTCGGATCTTAATCTTCGAGTCTTAAACAAGTCAAGACCCCCGAATAGAATGGAAGCTATAATAAAGGCAAAGTGTGGACACAGTAAATGCACCAATACGATACTGTATCATCATCAGCGCTGGCACTTAAACGCGGTATCGGCATCGGTGATGGGGTACCGATATATATGACCGATACCACAAAGCAATTTTTGACGTATACGTGCGCACCAGTAGACAGAGCTTAACACGTCGGCGATGAGGGGCGACATGCAGCGGTAAAACTGCTCATCTGTAACAGCAGATTTTGGTGCTAATGGAGCCGCTTACCTGAACGACTGAGCTGCTTCTGTCAGTAATCACTCGTCTGCCGCTGTGGTCACTTACAGTCCGAGTTCATGTTATTTAGAGAGCGGAAGGAACTGCCAGAGTCTCGGCATAATGATAGCCTTTAGCCTCGATTTAGCCTTTAGCACAGCAGTCCGTTGGTCAGCAGCGGAGGTATTTACTATTATTTACTACTTATATAATAGTAAATGCTGATTATATACAGTAAATAAACAAAAATAAGTTTTCTTAATCATCTAATAAATATATTCCAACAAATAAATGCCATCTAGCCAAGCTGAGTGCGTTGTTTGTGACGCAGAACACAGATTTTACCAAAATCAAATATTTGAAAAATGTAATTTGTATAAGTATCAGAAGTTAGAGGTGAGTTAGGTTAGATAGAGATAGTGTCGGTATTGGTACTCGGTATCGCCCGATGCTAAAGGGTCAGGTATAAGTATCGAAATCGGAAGGGAAAAAGTGGTATCGGTGCATCTCTAACTAAATGCAGATTTCTTTTTATTATATTTAGCTGTCGAGGCTTCTGAATAATTTTCATGTTTTCTGCTTTTTTCCTGGAGAATGAACTTTTACTTAATGCCTGTTTTAACTCGAAATTGAATAAATGAAGGGTCTCTGGTGTTCAGTGCTGTTTTGTGTATATAGATTTGCAGTCTTACATAAGAATCACATACACACACAAACACACACACACACAAACACACACAGAGCAGCCTGCAGATTCATGCACCATCACTCTATGAAATCTGATTACATTTTAGTAGTAAAAATCATCGATGTGAGTCTCAAGCAATTAAAGTACAAAGCCCAAATAAACTGCACCTTCAGAGTCATTCCACGAAAAAAGTGCTGTTTGCGTGAGAAACATCTGATGCTGTTCAAGACAAAAAATCTTCCACAAATGTTTTTCAAGATTAAATCGCTGGTTTGATCCCCTGAGCCAACAGTACATGACTGAAGTGCCCTTGAGCAAGACACCTAACCCCCAACTGCTCCCCGGGCGCCGTGGATAGGGCTGCCCACTGCTCCGGGCAAGTGTGCTCACTGCCCCCTAGTGTGTGTCTTCACTAGTGTGTATGTGGTGTTTCACTGCACAGATGGGTTAAAATGCAGAGGTGAAATTTCCCCATTGTGGGACTAATAAGGGTCACTTAAACTTGATGATCTTAATAATGAAAATGAATGTTAATCCACTCCGTCACACCGACTTTCTTAGCTATAAAATAACGTTCTTTCACATTGACGAGAGAGAGTAAGTGAAATCATTTAAGTCTTTAAGAGAGCCGAGTTACAAAGGATGGTATTTTTTTTTATGTAATATTAATAATTTGTTTTCTTCATTTGTGAGCCTAACACCATCACACAAATCCAGTGACTGTGCTTCTCAGTGTTATTTGGCGCAAAAATCAGCTTCCTAACTGAGAGAAAATCTGTTTTTGGGCAAATTGAAACTACGGTGAACAACGACTTATCCTGAAAAACTTTCAGATTAGCATTTGGCACTGATCTTGTGGAATGACTCGTCCTTGAATGAGAATGATTCAGTTAAAAGCATGTAATATGAATGAATGAATGAATGAATGAATGAATGAACAGAGAGATAAACAGATAAATGATATAGCATCCTCAGTGTAATCAGCGTAGTCCTGTTACTCATGTACGGTAGACAGCAGTGTGTGAGCAACGTGCTGAGAGACCCCCACCTCCTGTCCTGCGGGTCTACACTGCTGAAAGTCACACTGCTAACGGGGTAGTGCCTCCTGAAGAACACCCTGAAAAACAACACACAACTCCTCCAGTCAGAAACAATCACAGCAAGATGCTTTCAGTGTCGAGAGACAGGAGCTCACCACTCTGCCGGTCAGAGCAACTTGAAATACAAACGTAGCGTTTAAGTAAGTCTGAGTTCACAGTGTGTCACTACAATGCATTTAACACTTATGTTCTTGGGTATGTTTCGGTTTGTCCATCTGAATTTACTGCCCAAATCGTAAGACAAATTATTCAGTAACTGCATGAAATGACTGTAAAGTTCCCCTCAAATTAACAGAATATGTGTTTTATGATCATAAACATAATGATATGCTTACAATTTACTGCTGAAAGCCAAAAATCTTAGACGCTCTTTGTATTATTTTATAAAAATAATGTTTACAGAGCAGATCACTGAAGAGACGCCATCTGTTTATAGTTTATAGCCCAGATTTGTGGAAAAATGGGTCGACTTTCAGTAGAAAAAAGTTCAGCTTCTTTTATTATAAGGGTTTAAAATGACATCACCCATCTATTTGACTGGAAAGAAGACAGTTACAGCCTCATACGACCCCCACCTTTAGAATGTAGCTTATGAAATATAAAAGTTATGAAGAATATGACGAAGTACGTTTTGGAACCACCGGTGGTCTCAGGGAGTTAAAGAGGTTAAAACAAACTATACTACTGCAAACTACCAAGACAATGTGTAATACATTGTGTATGTAAGTGATTTTAGATGGGTCATTTCACGCCCACTCACCTTCCGACTGTCTGGTCACACCATGAATTTCCATTGAAAAAAACTTCATTTAAATATTTCGCTGTTGTCGGAAGAAAACCTCGCATTTCAATTTTTGTCACAGTTTTTGACGTAATGTGAAAGTGCGTGTTGTCTTATACATTGTGTGTAAATTTTATGATGAATGGACCAAAAGAAATGACCCAAAATGACTTGGAAAAAATTCTGGTTCCATTGACTTACATTAGAGGTAAAGTATGTTTTTCCTTTTTCTGTAAAGTTACCATTTTGGAGATACGAGGTTTCAACACAGCGATATTCAACCATACCATTTTAAAGCTGTGTCCCAGTGATTTTTAAGTTGTGGTGTTTTAAAGTTAGCCCGTCAGGTTCTACATTTAATCGTGAATATTGAGTTTTACTGCTTACAGAATAACTGAACTGAGCTGAAATATTAAATGTAAATAAATAAAATTTCACCGGATATGAAATCAACTGGTTTCATATTATTAAATTGAACTCTTTTATGCCAGATTGAGCAAAATTACATCTTTAACGTTGAATTTTCAAAATTATTTTTGCAAATTTTAGATTTTATATATAGTATTGCTACATTTCTGCCAAACCTATTAATTATTAAGTTCTATGTAATATTTGAAGCTACACCATGAGTTTTTAAACAGCTTTTTGGCCCTGAATAAGATCTGTTCCATAAGCAGTTTAACTCAATATCTGAGATGCAGTTTAAGATGAATTTTAAAATTCCTAACTAAAAACACAGGAAAGATCTAAACTCATCTCTCCTCCTGTCTCTCCTTTATCTCCTGTATCTCACGTCTCCTTTTTGTCTAATGATAAAGTATTTTAGAAAAACCACCATTAAGTCTCCTGAGCTGTCAAAGAGCAACGTATGAGCTCTAAGACTTTCCTCTGGGAAACATTTTGAATAGGTGCTCTGATTAAACTGTAGTTTTCATGTCAATCTTTTCACAGAAATCCTTAATCATGACTGGACAGGCTGTAAAGCTACGTTCACATCACAAGCCTCGTTGCTCAAATCCAATTTTTTGCTCAGATCCGATCTCTCTGACACGATGGTTCACACTCGTTTAGGTAAGTGACTCCAGTCTGTCATTAATGTGACGAACCGGCGTCCTGAAATGACCCTCATGAGCTCATCCTACTCAGTAACGTCACGTGAATGAATCACGTTCATCATCAGCACAAACTAACGAGCAGAACGAGCTTCGCTGAGAAGATCATTAACTCTGATCAGCTCTCAGCTTCATTATTAGAGCGAGACGAAGGAGAAAAAGGTGAGATGAGCTGCTTTTCCACCGTTTACAGGCTTTAACTTCTGTTCGGCGCTGCTGCCATGGTAACGCTGAATGATGGCACAGTGGAGTAAAAGCACATGAATTCAGATCTGAGCGTCACATTAAGGTCACATGGCCACGAATCAGATACGTATCCGATCTAGGACCACATATGAAAGTGGCTCAGGTCGGATTTGAAAAGATCAGATTTGTGTCCACACAGCTCTGAAAACATCAGATCTGAGTCAGATTAGAGCAGAAAGGTGGAGTGAACTGATCCAGGTCCTAAAGGAAACCTCAATACACATCTGCAGATCAGCAGGTCTGATTCAGAAACAGCAGCAGCTATGTTAAGTGTGTGTTACCTGCGCTGGCTGTCGGTCAGCGTGATGCCCTGCGCTGACACTTTGAAGTGGACGACGGTGGCTGAGGGCCGAGGGCTGCGAGTCACGGTGGCTCCCACTGCTTTAGCAATAGCCTGCGGTCCGGTCAGAGACTCCGTCTCCACTGAGTTCAGGTACAGCACGTTACACGCTGAGGAGAGAGAGGAACGGCGGAAAATGAGCCAACTATGACAGAGAAGAAGAGAGAGATGGTAACAGATAAAGAAGAAGAACAAAAAGAAAATGGAAAGATGGAGGAAATAAAAGAAAAAAAATGATGCAGTAAAAGAGTGAGAAAAAGAAAAGAGTTGCAAAGAGTGACGAGAAACGAAGATGAGACAAAAACAAAGCAGACAGAAAAGAGAAAGAGTAGTATGTAAAAGTGAAAACCAGTGAAGAACAAGATGATTAAAAAAAAAAAACAGATGTAAGAAGCAGAAAGAGAAGAGGAAGTGGTAAACGTCAGGGTGGTGGCGCCGACCTGCTCCCTGTTTCAGTAAGTCTGCTGCGGTGCTCATGTTGCTGGCAGGCTGCACTTCCTGTGTCTCTCCTATAGGATCTGCAGGGGACACATACAGAATACTGAGCTCTCCACATTCAGTCCCTTTATAGACCGTCAACTACATCTGCAGCACCGACACTCAGCCGCGAATTCCACAGCTACACAGTTAAACACACTTTAACAGAAGAGTCGAACTGTTACTGTGAGATTTGAGGAATCGTAACCTGATTATTTCCCACTATTCATACTTCATATTGCTGATCTCATGTTTTCAGCTGTGATCATGATTATTAGAGCTGGGCCTTCAGTTTGGGTCATAAATGCCAAAATTTGAGCAAAACGTGGGAAAATCCCACCTACACAATAATGCTAAGGTCTACTAGCAGTCCTATGAGATTATAGTGGTATGGTAGCGCTAGGATAACAGTGATGCAACTGAGCATTTTTTGCCTGTTGTAGATTAAATATGGATATTTAAAGCTTGTAGAAGACGTTCCATGTTTTGAAGCTTGTAACAGACACGAACATAAAGCTGGCACAGCTTTAACGCCTTTGTTTTCTGTCTCCAACTACTGATTGAATCCTGGCTAGACTACAGCTCCCATTCACAGTCAGTGTCGTATATGAGATTTCCAGAAGGCCTAGGTCAGGGGTCGGCAATATGCGGCTCCGGAGCCACATGCCGCTCTTTTACTGCCCTGCTGTGGCTCCACAGCTGAATCAGATTAGTAGGTAAAAATAAAATAATCCTCCTTTACAGTAAAATAAAGCTCTGCTGATCGTTCAACACAGTTTAACAATAAATGGTCTTAAACTCTGGAGTTAATGTAGAACTGCTAATTCACCCTTTAACCCTGAAGATCAGCGCAGACTGCTGGTCACCATAGCAACGCAGATGAATCTCGCCTAGCTGGTAGCTAACGAAACGGCAAAGAGAGAGATTTAAGATGAACATCGATAATTTAGAGACGAATGGACTTATTAGTGTTTATAATCACTCCAGCTGGTTTCCTGATATGTTTAATCTGCAACGAGAAACTGACAAACAGTAAAGTCGCGAAGCTGAAGTCAGTTTCTTGTTAAAATTTTTCTGTTCCACCTTAAATTGTGCAGCAGGAACATTCTGGAGCCTCAGGCATTATTTAAGGTGAAACAGGAAAATTCGAACAAGGAGCTGGTGAATGAGAACTTTTGAGGAAAAGTTTCCTGCTGGAGATGTGAGAAAAGAGGCTATAACTGAGCTAAAGCTTAAACTATTTCAGTATTTTTAGTCTATACTAGAACATCAGCACATACTGAGACAGATTTACTGGACATAAAATGTTGTGGCTCCCATGGTCTTTTGATTTTTGTTGAAAGGAAAAAAATGGCTCTTTTTAACATTTGGGTTGCGACCACTGGTCTACAGTGATGTTTGGTCCTACACATTGTAAATCAAAACATGATTGGCTGTTAGTGGTTAATCTAAAACATCAGGCCTTCAGTCCAGCTTCTGAAGCTCGAAGCAGTGAGAGAACTGGCTTGGCTGCATCCAAAGCCTGGCCACTTCCTATTTCTTTCCATTTTTCTACAGCAAAAAGGTTTTGGGCAGTGGAACACCAAAATTACAGCTAGTGAGTGGATATTGGCTCACTGACATCATCAATGTACATGAGACACTGTTGGAAAGTCCTGTTACTGGACTGACAATGTTGAATTATTTTATGCTGTTCTGTGTTGAGAAGTGAGTGCTGTGTTCTTCTGTATTTAAATGATTAAGCATTTACAAACTATGATTTTGCACAAAAACTCCAAAGGAACCTGTTTATTTTGTAGCCAGTGTCTCTTTTAGTAATCTTGCTCCTGTGGTTTCTGATACTGTAAGAAATACTGTTATCTGTAAATATGAACAAAAGTAGATCACATTTGTCCACTTATTGCTGTTGTCTTGTATCTCCAAAATGGTAACTTTACAGGAGAAGGAAAAAACTTTAATGTGCTTTTAATGTAAGTCAATGGAACCAGACTTTTTTCCAAGTCATTTTGGGTCGATTCTTTTGGTCCATTCATCATAAAATTTACGCACGATGTAAAGAACAACAGGGATTTTCACATTACATCAAAAACTGAAAAAACGACAAAAATGGAGATACGAGGTTTTCTTCCGACAACAGCGATATGTAAATAACAGTATTTCATACTGACTTAGGGTGCCTACACACTAGACCACCCAAGGACGGACCCGGAGACACTTATGTATGCAGATCTTGTCCGTCTAGAAGGCGTGTGCACGGCTGGAGTGGGGCAGAGTTTGTACAGTTCGAAATCCAGCAGCAAACAAAGCATTTGGAACAGAAACAAAGAAATATGGGCTTCGAAAGAAATACAGAGCCAATCAGGGAACAGCCACGAAAACACAGAATTCATATAGAACAGGAAAGAGTACACAGCGTCGCTACTGTCCTCCGTCTTTTCCGCCTGCACATTTCTATTGGTGTTAGGGCCCAGCCTGCACCGCTGGCCACCAGCAGAGGGCGATGGCAGAGAGGCACCAGAAGTTCAGGGAACTCCAACTCCCAGAAGCCCTCAGGCTGATTAGGCCCAATCTGGCACACCTGTGGACTCCTCTACTTAAGGCTGTGGCAAACAGCAGCCCTTTGTCACACCTTTGTAGAGGGGTGACCGGTACAGTACAGGTGGATATTTAAATAAAAGGAAAGGAAAGAAGGCTGGAAAAACAAAAGAGAGAAGTTGCCCCAAAACTACTTAAAAGCCAAAAAGAAGGACTGAACAAGAAACGACTCCAAGCCATACAAAAGTGTTCACTCCACAAAGAGCAAACATAAAGCTGACCTTCCCCTCAGAATCACAGAGGAAGTGTTTTTTGTTTTCTGATTATCTTTTATTTCATTTTTCTACCTCAGTCTTTGTTTGAGCTGCTTTCAGCATCCCCTTTGTCTGCCTTTTTCCTGCCATTTTTTTTTTTAATTTCCCATTCATTGAGGTGTTTTTGTCTGTGCTGCCCGGTGGCGCAGCGGTAACTCCTCGTACCGCCAACCAGTACATCGGCGGTTTGAGTCTGCCTCTGAGCCACCTCAACTCCAACATGCATAATCACCAAATTCACACTCCATCACCTCAATAAATTCATTTAAAACCCTTTCTCCAGGTTTTCCTCTCTGCACTTGGGTCTGCCTGCCTGCAGTCCCGTAACAATTGGTTGACGTGCCTCCACGTCAGAATCCAGTGCAGCAAAAGTTGAAATGGTTTGAACTTCTTTGACGCTCGATGAAGCGACTTTTCACTGCATACAGGCGTGTTTAGTCGGACAGAGGACGCAGCCTCTAGTGTGTAGGACCCTTAGGCATGCAGTCTGCACATGGCTAACTGGTGTAGATACACTTCCATTGCTTTTTAGCTACTTTAGCTTTGTAGCACCAGTCCAAAACTAAAGAAGCAAGCATTAGACACCAAACATGTCCTGACTGATTGATTTTACGGAGCCCCGCTAACAGCTCCCTGACACTGTCTGACGGGTTTTGACGTGTTAGATTGATGAGATGATGAACAGAAATGCTCATCATCATCAGGTCTGATTCTGATTTGGGGGGTTATGAGGAAACTGCAGCTCCTCTTCACAGCAAACGGCCCACAGTGTTTCGGCTCCCACATCAAGCTGCGGTGATAGAGACCATCACACAATTCCAGGACGAAATGATCAGCGTTTCAACATCCTCACATTCATATATATGGGTCATTCTACAGAAACGTCCACTCTTTATCTCTCCATAAGAGTCACTGGTGTTACCGATCCTCATTGGTGTTCCACATAATAAAGGAAACACCAGAGACATTTTAATGAACAATGCATTTTACAGAATGGCTGCTACAGAACATCAAACCACATGTTGTCAATCATGGAACATCCACTAAAATATGGAATTTAATCCATTTGTATTCTATTTTTTCACAATTACCTCAGAATAAAGTCGGTCACACCAGTGACTTCAGCTAAAAGCTTCATATGAAATCATGAGCTAAATGAGAAAATCTCTGATAACTGAAAGACACAGTGGACTCACCATGAGCTTTTCTTCATAGATCCTCAGAAAACAGGTAAAAGGACGTCGAGTGATGTCATCAGTGTGACTTTTATTTCAAAATAAGAGTTTTTGTTACACAGTAACACCAGTGACACGACTCCTGGGGACCACAACTTTCATTACATATTTTATAATATTTATTTGTTTTCTTTGTCATTTAATCTATATATTCCATAGTCATGTATAGATTATTGTAGTTAAAATTGCAGAAAAAGTGTTTTTTTTTTTTCTTCAAAATATGGCCTCAGCCTTCACACATGACTGTGAGGACGAGCTCTTCTGTGGTGTTTGGAATTCTATATGATTGATTTTAAAAACCAATATTGCTAAATTGAGGCTCAAGAAGGTGTAATCGATAAAATAACTTATTGCTTTATTTTAAAATATAAATAAATTGTAACCCTAACATGTATTTTAAGTGTGATATATCTCTGAACGCTAAGGACACAAAAATGGACGTTTTTGTAGGATGACCCATCTACATGTAATCCATAGATTACCTATTAAACTCTCTCACCATTTGGCCTCATCCCACATGAACGTTTCTGTGTGTTTAATTTGAGGATGTTGAAATGTTGACGCTGATCATTTCTTCCTGGAACTGTATGATGGTCTCTAACACCACAGCTTGTCGTGGGAGCAGAAACAGCGCTAAGCGTCCGCGCTGCGTCTCTGTCTCTGCTAATCATGATCATTAGTGCAGTTTAGTGAAGATTGTGGTTGTAGTTTATCGTCTTCCTTCATTTCTCCACCAAACTGCAGCTGCACTGATGAATCTGTGGGCCGTTTGCTGTGAAGAGGAGCTACAGAGTCTTCATAACGCCCCAAATCATAATCAGACCTGATGAGCATCTCTGTCCATCATCTCATCAACCTAACACATCAAAACCCGTCAGACAGTCTCGGAGCTGTTAGTTACGTCTACACAGGACAAATAACACAACCTGCATCTACTACATTGATTTTGCACACGAATCAACAACGTGCATTCAGTTAAAAATAAAACATGACCACGATTAAAAGAAAACGAGAGAATGATTTAAGAAATCGTGACCACGAATAAAAGAAAACGTGTACAAACCGCAAAACGTTCACTCAAATTCACTCCGGGGCTCCGTAACATTTCACGTAAGGGGAAAAGTAATATTAATTAGCTTGTCTGAATGTCTGTGGAGACTGTTTACCTTTGTCTGGGATGCGGAGTGCACAGGGCAAAGAGATGGGTGTGATGGAATGCTGATACACCAGCGCTGACAGGCTCCCTATTAGCAAGACAACACAAACACACACACAACCGAGAATTAACGTTTGTTTTTCATGCCATTCAGACGTCCACCCACACAAACATCAGCTGGCTGACTTGCAGCCTTGCAAATACCTAAAGGAGAAAAACACCAGAGGAAAAAAGCAGCGATCACAGATGTCACTGTTATATAACGTGTTCATGTACTTAAACTGCTCACTTTTAAGTTCTAGGGAACGTTTCACTGTGGTTTCACTGAGGTTTATGAGTCTGATTTTGATCGCTCGGCCACTCCGAGCTCTGCTGTGCGAATACCTTGCATGCATCACGCAGACAGATCCCCAGCTCAGATTTCTAAACCAAGTACGAACTCATTCATTCTCACAAGCTTCTATGAACAAGGCTGTGTTTGCACTCACATTCACAAAAATGCAGAGTGATGAATCTCCAACAGATGCAAGACAGCCTCGCTGGGGCTGTTTATGCTACTAGGACATTTGATCAGAGTTCGTGAAATCAGATTACTGATCGGCGTACTTTGAGAGCCTCTGCTAAACATGTGCCTAAGTTGTAAACAAGCACCCGGCGCTTGAAAAGGGTGAAATATGGCTACAAAACAGAGATTTAAGCTACAGTCACATTTTAAAGATGTACATAAAGAGCACTCAGAAGAACCCTTTAAAGAGTAACTACACCCCACTATGTTCAGCTGACTCCACCCCTGGCTCTACTTTAAAAAATGCTCCAAAATGGGAGGGGCACCGCAGTGATCTATGGGTTTGGAGGTGGGGCTGCGAGGGAACCTGGGTGGGCTGGGCTGCTGTGTTTTTAGAGCTAGCGTACGGCACTTGGCTCTACTGCCATCTCCATCTTCGAGGAGGGAAGGTGTTTCTGATCAGGCAGTGCGTCTCGAGCCTTAACAGTATGAGCCACTGACTCAAGCCACTGAAGAGTCAACATGATTACCAGCGAGCAGCAGAGGTGCCGAACGGTAGAACATCCCCTAAAACCGTGACAGCTCGTGTCTAATTACCTGTTCAGCAGGCTCGTATTCGATATATACCCCGTGTCCTGCTTTCTCAGACGCCCTGAATCCCGAAAGAATAAAGTGGATTTTTTGAACTCTGACTAAGTTTCATTCAGTTTGACATCAAGGTCGCAGACTGCATCACCCTGCATCATCAGGGTTTCCTGCCGTGGCTCTAAATCCTTATGTTCTACAAGCTGTTCATGCCACTTGAACGGTGTTACATCCGATTCAGTTCCCTGTCAAATTCACGTTCCCCTGTATAAACCAAACCCTCACCAAACTCACTGAATAGAAATCAACGGCAAACGGCGCTGGAACTGCGGAAAGCAGGAAAAAAGTTCAAGAAAGGCTGTACGGACGAAAGGCTGACACATTCGGTAACAATGGCCATTTAACGTTAACCTTTCCTGAACTGTTTCTCTTTCCGTAGTTCCAGTGCTGTTTACCGTTGATGTCTGTTCAGTGAGCCCGAGGGTTTGAGTTGTGAAGGGAAACGTGAATCGGATGGAACACCGGCAGCTTTACGGAGACTCGCAAGAATCCTCACTTAATCGGTCCAACATCTTTATTCCAAACTAAGCTCAGATTAACTGGGTTATTCACAGTTGGTACAGACAGCTGGCATATCGCAGCCTTGTGAGGTGGTGCTGGGGGTGTTTAGCTCAGCGTGTAAGTGTGGTTACCTTCTCACTCGAGGCTCCTATGCTCATATTATATTTCATATATGCTTTCATATTATAGGTACAAAGACACGTCATCTGTGTCTATAGCAAAGTTGAACCAGAGGGGGCGCTGCAGAGGCGGAAATGACCACGATAAAAATGATATTTTACAGTTTGGAGAGATGTGCTCACATTATAAGCAAGGCTGGTATATTTTATTATTGCATTTCAGCTGTTAATGAAAAAAAGGTCTTAGGGTGGAGCTGCTCTTTAAGGATGTCACTCACCGAAGTGGGGCTCATTTTGGCAGCCTTTGATCTTCACCCCTCGTGGGCCGGTCTCAATCAGGAAATGTCTGACCAACTGCTCCATAGGATCTCCACCTGCCCAGAGAAGACAGGAGACACTGAACAAAGTCCAGGCAACTTGTACGCCACTTGTAGTGAACCTTCAAATATTACAGGTAAATACTTGATATATTTAGGCTACATTAGATACAGATAACCGTTAAATCTCTTTAAATGTTCCCAGGATGTAGGTCTGTTCAACCTACCTGTGTGCTCCCAGATAGCAATGAATTTTTGGCCCAAATGTGGCCCACCTCCACAGTTCTCTTATGGCCCACATTTGGCCTTGATGTACGGAGTTGATTCAGGGTGAGTCTGGCTGCCTCAACTCAGCCACAGGTCCACCGTATATGGGCCAAATCCGGACCACACAACATGTGCTGCAACCCAAGTCAAGCCTGGCTCATAACGTTTGGCCCACGTTCGGCCTGCACAATACTTGCCAGTGCCATAACTGAGAAAGTGGCAAAAGTGGCACAGATTAGGCCCAAATATGCCGGCTAACTGGGCTCGGTCTCAAAACCTGACATCTTTTCCTTTTGTAAGTTCATTAATTCTTAATCAGTTTCTGAGCTGCTGAGTGTTTATAGTGTTTATGTTGGTTGAACTGCAGGCTGGTGTGTTCGGTGATGTGACGTGTGTAATCGGGTAGAAAACTGCTGTCCAATAGATTGTTGTCGGGAGTGGGGTGTCGGCACAAATTACATTGCAGTGCATGCTGGGGATTGTAGCGCTGCTGACTGTGAAATGGGTTAATATTAAGCTTCTTCTAAGCCGCTTATCCTTCTGGGTCATGGGGGGAGCTGGAGCCTATCCCAGCAGTCATTGGGTGGAAGGCAGGATACACCCTGGACAGGTCACAAAGTCCATCGCAGGGCAGACAACAGACATATACATCCGCACTCACACATTCACACCTAGGGGCAATTCAGCATGTCCAGTTGGCCAGACTGCATGTTTTTGGACTGTGGGAGGAAACCGGAAAACCCGGAGGAAACCCACACAGACACGGGGAGAACATGCAGACTCCCTGGTCCCTGGTCACCCGGCCGGGGAATCGAACCCAGGCGACTGTGAGGCGACAGCACTACCCACTGCGCCACCATGCCGCGGCTAATATTAATACATACATACATACATCTGGGTCGCGGTGGGGTGCTGGAGCCTATCCCAGCTGTGATTGGGCGGAAGGCAGGATACACCCTGGACAGGTCGCCAGTCCATCACAGGGCAGACAGACAGACATACACATTCACACACACTCACACCTAGGGGCAATTTAGCATGTACAATCAGCCTGACTGCATGTTTTTGGACTGTGGGAGGAAACCGGAGTACCCGGAGGAAACCCACGCAGACACGGGGAGAACAGGCAAACTCCACACAGAAACGACCCTGGTCACCCGGCCGGGAATCGAACCCAGGCCATTCTTACTGTGAGGCTAACATTAATAGAATATCAAAATGATTTCAAGGGCCGGATTGGATTGTACCATGGGCCTGATCTGACCCGTGGTCCTTGTGTTTGACACGTGGGCCTTAGACTGCATCCATGTGAGTACGGTTGTCATTCACAATATCAGTGTGGATTGCAGCCCTTCTTGGTCAGTTGGTCATTTACAGAAAAAAGGTAACGTGCTGGACGGAAGGAACATGGTAACCTGGTAGGATAAGCTACTTTAACAGCTAGTCTCATAGGTTATACATGGGTTTGTGCACATATTTGCAAAACCTACAGGTACACCTCCGAGATTGGTGAAAGAAGGCAAGATGTCCCCAAACCTTTGACAGGCAGTGTACACTGGTTTGAAGAATCACAGCCAAACGCTTATAAGAACCATTTGACTCAGTTCGCTGTTCAAGCAGCCCATCTATCACAGAGTGCGAGCGTCTGAATGAACTGACTTTCTTGGAAGTGCGAGTTACATCTGATCCGTGAGGACGGATTAAATCCAGGTTCAACCAGAACTATGATGAATGGAGTTAATCAGCAGGGAGACACACACATACACACAGCCTGAGGGTGAAATCTGGGCTAAAGTGCCAAATCCTCTTTCTCAGCGCCAAGACTAATAAAGTACCTTTTCATCCAGGGCGCCAGCAGGACTAATCGATTTTTTTAATGTGCAGAAAAGAATTTGCAATCACACACTGATCACACATACAGTTTAAAGTTGTTTATAAGACATGAGAGGGGTTAGTGTTAATTTCCGGTGTAAAACATCTCAAAATGGATGATTATGTGCTTCTAGTCTTTTACGAACCACAGTCGAGCGAACTGAATCAAATGGTTCTTATAAGCGTTTGGCTGTGATTCTTCAAACCAGTGTACACTGCCTGTCAAAAGTTTGGGGACATCTTGCCTTCTTTCACCAATCTCTGATGTAATGTAATGTCTGATTCTCATTGTTACTTTCACAAGCTAATATTATTTGGGGTCCTCCATAATTTGAATTATATATTGATTTTCTCACTTTAAAAATGTTTATATTTTTGCACAAATAACTAAACATTTTAGCCGCATCACACTGTGGAATATTTTAGGCTAAACTCGCTGCTACCCTGCCTGTTATCAAGCTCAGATCTTCAGTTATTCAACAGTTAATTGCATGACTTTTCTGAGAGAACTGTTTTCTTTGTCTATTTTGTGCGAAGGAGTAGACATGGTATGCCTGATGGACCATGCCAAGGAAGGAGAAGACAATAAATTATCAATGACAACTACATTTTCCAGCTTTTGATTGGGTTTTACTTGTTTCATTGTTACTTTCCACTAATACGATCAAAGAGCTGTTTACTGAGGGTATATTTAAGATGGGTATCTTTACTATGGTTATATCTTGCGACACATTAAAGCATCAGTGAGTGTGTTTACATGCACTCAATAATCCGATCATAATCGGATTTCTGCAGTTATCCGATTATTCAAATGGTCATGTAAACGCCATACTCCGATCTAGAAATCTGATTAAGAAATCCAATAAAAAGGCTGGAATTTAGCTCAGTAATCAGATTTCTCAGTGCTGTAAACTCTTACTCTGATTTCTTTCAGATTTCTCAGTCTGCACATGTGTGAAAACAGATGGCGGTACCAGAAATAAGCGAGCAGCGTCGCCGCGAGACGCAGCAAACCACTTTTGGAGCGGTGCTGAAACCAAAAATAAAAGATTTGAATATTCTTCATGTTCTAGATGATGTATGTTCATATTTTCAAGTAAAGTCACGCGATATAAAAAAAAAGCTGCGGTATGAAATTTGAGCTTTACGTTACGTTTACGTCGCGTCTTCTGTGAGTTTATTGGCTGGATGCAAAGCAGAAATCTGATTTACTGTCTGACTCACGTAGACCTGGAGTTTCCCCATTATCTGATTACTCAAGTGCAAGTAAATCAGATTACTCACAAAATCTGATTTTCTGCAGTTATCGGATTATTAAGTGCATGTAAACGCACTCATTGTTGGCAGGGATGCAAATTTAGTCTGACAGGTAGGGGGGCTGACAACAGAAGACTAAAGCTTTACATACAGCAATGTAAACATAAAAAAATGGGTAAACAAAGCAAACCTACAATTACACTTATTATATTGATATATATATATATATATATATATATATATATATATATATATATATATATATATATATATATATATATATATATATATATATAATGCTCTATAGGTCAATATTAAAACAAAAAAAATCAATGAAATGTCATATGTGCAACATAGAGATCCAATTTCGTTGCTAATGGCATTTTTCTTTCAACTCTGTCACTAAAATTCTCAGTCTGATCTACATTACAAAAACGTTAGCAAATGACCAATAACAATAAATATGATGATGATGATGATTAAAAAGAAAAGGAAGGACTATTAATATCTGTTCTAAGTCAACAAACAATTATAGTACAGTAAAGAAGTGTTCTAGTCCAGGTTAGTGCTTCTTTGTCTTTACTGACTATAACTAAACAAAACAAAACCCTATTTTGGCTTTTAATAGTTTTAAAATGCTCTGTAATATTTAATATCTGACAGCTCTTTTGCAACTCAGCTAAGTACCATAACCATCCCTCAACCACTAAAACAAGGGTGTCAAACTCAACCACTAAAACGGCCATATCAAAAAATCTCAACACATTCAAGATCCAGAGAGCGTTTATATTTGAATACGGCAAAACGTCAACAGCAAGAAACAGCCACTTGTAGTGAACCTTCAAATATTACCTGTGAATACTTGATATATTTAGGCTACATTAGCTACAGATAGATCTGTCATTAATGTGAACGGACCGGCGTCCTGAAATGACCCTCATGAGCTCATCCTACTCAGTAACGTCACGTGAATGAATCACGTTCATCATCAGCACAAACTAACGAGCAGAACGAGCTTCGCTGAGAAGATAATTAACTCTGATCAGCTCTCAGCTTCATTATTAGAGCGAGACGAAGGAGAAAAAGGTGAGATGAGCTGCTTTTCCACCGTTTACAGGCTTTAACTTCTGTTCGGCGCTGCTGCCATGGTAACGCTGAATGATGGAGCAGCGCAGTGAAAAAAAAAGCACATGAATTCCGATCTGAGCGTCAGATTAAGGTCGCATGGCTACGAATCGGATACGTATCCGATCTTGGACCACATATGAAAGTGGCTCCGGTTGGATTTGAAAAGATCAGATTTGTGTCCACACAGCCCCGAAAACATCAGATCTGAGTTACATTAGGGCAAAAAGTCTGATTTGTGCCACTTCAACCTGGAAATGTGAACGTAGCCTTTGACATCTTTTGAGAACTTAGACCCAGAACAGTTATTAGTGAAAGTGTTTAGCCAATATTAAAAGATTTATTTCTTATTCATAATATTATGTTGGAGGCCTGGGGTTGAGGGGGACAGCCCTTGATCCCGACAAGCTAACAGAGCTATGTGAAGTTGACTAGCCATGTGTAACCCACAGCACACTGTATTACATTCTCACGCTAATCAGTGAATTCACAGCAGCAGATGTTCACTCCAGCCTGAGGTTAAGCTCTGCTAAAGCACTTCAGGTGCAGCTTTAAGGGGTTTCCTGTGCAGACAGTGGCTAAGCTGGCGGAGAGGGAGGCTGTTCGGGAGAGGAAATGCCTGCTCTCCACACTCAGACGTGCCGTACCTTTGCTGCCGTGGTTGTTGACACTGGGGGGCGGCGTGGCCACTTTGAGGGCCAGGCCGTAAGCCCCTTGGAAGGAGTTGCTGTCCCGGATCAGGAACGCACCTGGCTCTTTTTCCTTCAGAGCTGCGATGGCTGTAGAGGGAGAAGAGAAGACAGGATAACAGACAACCGTCCATGTATCAGATGGATGGATGCTCTTAACAGCTGGAACATCACTTAGCTGCCCTATACATACTAAACTGCTGTAGAACAGAAATTCAGAAAATTGGGCATTTCATTTACATTTAGTCATACAGCTGATGCTTCTGTTGTAGCTCGAAAAAGCAAAATACACAAATTCTTTCTTATCTTGGTGTTAAGTCCTTTGCTCATATATACAGTGGTTGTATCCAGTGCCAGCTCTACCTATTAAACGACATAAGCAGCTGCTTAGGGCCCTGCGGCTGCCAGGGGACCCCTCACAACTTCTGGGATATTGCTGTACCATTATGTCGTCCAAGTTACTCGAGTAAGATTTAAAAAACGCAACTGGTTAATCATGTCTCAGAAAAGAACGTAAACATCTGGAGCTGAAAAATAGTAAAGAAAAAGAAGACGAGGTGAAAAGCGTCTGGAAAACAAGATGTAGCGGATCTGGGGTCTGTGTACTAAGCATGTTGAACTTATGACAGGCTTTCTGGCCCAGTTTCATCATTAAAACCTAACAAATGTAGCCACGTTTCAGTCGTTTTACAACAGGAGTTAATAACAAACTGTAACCTATCAGAACTCCAAACGAGCGTTCAGTCATCAGCAATATACAATGTAGCCAATTATAAATATATATAATTTACCCAGTGTGTTGTCGTTGATATTAATTGGCGTCTGATTTTATAGGAGATCGACTAGCAGGGTGCTGTGCCTGGGGGTCGGGGGGTTACTCATGCTGTCATGACGGCAGATTTAGTTCAGTAATATAACAGTGTCATGTTTCCATTACCAGTAATTGTCATTTACAGATGCCGTAACGATTGATGTCATAGCAGCTTATGTCACACACTAATTTTTAATGCATCCAGGTACATGAAAAGTGGGGGTCTGGAGGGTGCTGCAACACCAACAATAATAATATTAATAATAATAATAATAATAAGTTCTGAATTTTTTAAATGTATTACTCACTCAATTGTGCTTGTTTTAGAGTGGATGTTTTATTTTTATATTTATATTTTATATCTTTTCAAAATATGCAGTATCTGTGCACTAATTAACACTATATTTTGATTATAGTGTGTCGAATTGCTTCCCTCACTAATGGTTGGCTGTTCTGGGGGCATTACTAAACCCAAGCATGCAAAGAGGAAAAGTGTATGCAGAATTACAGACCAGTTCTGAGTCCCACAGCAGCCCATTATTATACTGACTATAGTTTTTAAACTACATTACTAATGTAATGATGTTTTTATCAACCATTATATTCCTGCTTGGTGCGTCTCCCAGTCTTAAATTTGTCCATGTGACTGCGGACATGACACCATCAGTTACTGCCCCGGATATGAACACTAGTTGGTTAATGCCCAGTTCATTAGCACAGAGTTCATCCGGAACAAGAGAGCAGAGTGAGGATGTGCACCTGCATCGCCACTGTCACTTTATAGCATGTTATAACACATTTTGTAGGATGTAAACTATCGAAAGACAATCAAATGAAAAAAAGGCAAATCCTTCTGTATGTTGTAATTGTTCCTGTCATGTAAAATGCTGCTTAAAAGTTTAGCACCTCCAACTTAAAACACCCTCCTGCATCCCTGGTGGCAATTAACAGTAATGGTAACATGACACCTGCCATTGTATGTTTATAGTCACTGTTATGTAGCTTAGTTCAAGTTAAGTGTCACCAAATAACAGATACTTCATTATTTCAGGTTTTATAAAAGTTGTAGAAGTTTATCTTTGTGATTTTACTGTTTTCTGATGTTCTAATTATCAAATTTCACCAAATATTCATTGCAGCGCAGTAAAACATGCAAAAACTCTTTTTTTTTCAAAATTTGCTTAAAGAAGAACTTGTGAGACAGAAGCAATAGCTCACCTTGGTCTCGGGATATTCCGGGCTTGTACCAAAAACGGGAGCTGTCCTGCACAAATTTGACGCTGACCCGGTTGCCCACCTCGCCCTCCACAGGCCCCTCACTCTCCCCGCTGGCCGCTGCCACCTCTCCCACTGAAGGGGAAAACGTAACATGATGCTGGGCCGAGGGTGAGTGACTCAAGGATGCCCTCAGGGTGCCAGATCTGCCGTTGGGTGAGCCTGGCAAGGTGCCCTGGCGGCGTTTCTCTGGAAGAGGAGGCTGGATGGTGGAACTTGGGGAAGCTCCGGGAGTGTAGCAGCCTGATGAGACGGGAAAGGTGGGCGTGGAGTGACCGTCAGAACTGCTATCTGTGCTTGGGCATGGCTGCAGGTGCCCTGCTGGAAGGGAGGATTCTGTGCCCAGCATCAGCTTCCTGCCGAGAGTGGCAAAGCCAGGCACTGGAGGTTCAGGGGAGGGTGGGATCTCCTGGCTGCCCAGAGGTTGAGGAGAAACGGGTCCAGAGGACGTCGATCTGGGGGTCCCTGGTTCAGGAGGCAGTGCCACTCCATTGCTCTGCGGAAGGGGTGGAACAGACTCAGGCGGGACTGAGGCGACACACTGTGGAGTATTTGGGGAGACAGAATGCGGTGCGGCCTGGGTAAGAGTCTGTGGCTCCTTTTGGACTGGCTGTGAAGGTGCTGTACTTGCTTCCTCAACTGGCAGGGATGGAGCAACACTGGGCTGGCTGGTGCTCTGCAGTTGGCTGCCCTGTGTAGGGGAGGCCGGGGCAGAGTGGACGGAAGGCGCAGGGGCTTGCTGGTGGGAGCTGGCTGTAGGCGAGACTGGAGCGGAGTGTGTGGACAGCTGCCGAGAAGGGGAGGAGTGTGTCTGAGGACTGGAACCACAGGGTCTAGAAGGCTCTGAGGATGTACTGTCTACTTGATGAGGTTCTTGCCCAGAGTTGGGTGGCTGCGGGACAGCTGGGTATGGCCTGTCCTGGGCGAGGGGAGTGGTGCTGTCAGTGCTGACCTCTGATGATCGGGCCTCCTGCTCCCGGATGCTCAGACTAGGGCTGGAATCAAAAGTCAGGTTAGATCAGTGGTTCCCTGTCCTGGGATCTGATTTATCGAATACGCAAATGAACAATGTTTTGTGCAAAGTTCACTGACCTTTCTTGTGTGCGCAGTGGACTGCTGGTGTGGACTGGAGTGGGTGGCCCAGACATATCAGAGGGTGTGGAGCATGCGCCATGTGCATCTCGATGAAGTCGCCTCAAGGAACCATGGGTTATATGGTCCCGCCAACCCACATTCTCACCTGGAACACCAGGGCCGTCTGACAGAATGGCAGAGAAGCATAACTTTAAAACCAAAATTCTGAAAATACCTCTCAGAGTGAGAGCCATTACGCTCTGAAAACACTGGTGACATACGGGACTGTATTTTATTTATTTATTTATTTATTTATTTAGCGCTTTTTACAACAGGTGTTGTCACAAAGCAGCTTTACAGACTGTGACCATACAAAGCCAAATCTTAAAGCGACAGTTCAGCCAAAAATCAAATTTACACAATTGTCCCCTTTTTTCAAATGTGGATGATCAGCCCAGATGTGTATGGTGTCGGTGTCTGAAGGCTGCTTCTTTAGTTTGGCACTGGAGATATGAGTCTAATGTAGCCAGCAAATAATGGAAGCTTATACTCTTACAATTAACATCCTGCAAACTGCAGGCAAAGTCATCTCAAATACACTTGCTTATATAGTTTATGACACTTTATAACAGAGGTCACTAATAGGCAGACCACGGTCCGAGTCCGGACTCAGACGCTGTCCTATGTGGACCTGGACCTACAACCGATAAACTATGGAGAATTATTTAATTTCGACAGGGCGGTCCTATTTTATTCGGCGTAACATTTCTAGTCATTACGGTACCGTTTTAGCGGCCTGGGAGACTCACAGACCAATCACATGTGTTGTAAATATCTCACGTGGCGCTACTCAGCCAATCAGATCTGTGCATTACGATGAGCACTGAGACTCGAGTGAGTGACGCACACACAGGGGAGGGACGAGGTGAGACACAGCAGGCGGAGAAGAAAGTGAGTCAGAGGGAAGTTATTTCACATGGCGTGATCTAAAAGAGAAAACTGACAGTAAATGTTGTTGAAATATGACTGAACTGTACTTTATTTGATTTGACATTCAGTTGTTGACTGTATAAGATGTTGATATACCTACTAGGCTACTTCAGTAAACAGTATATGGCACTGAGTCATAATACAAGTTAGACATTATGATGTTCCAAACCTTTGCTTCAGGAAATTTCCTCTAACTGGACCTTATTAAATTTTAATTAGATATCCCTGCTTTATAGCAACGATTATTTTTAAAATTGGGTAAAAGTGCTGGCAAAATTCAGGTTTTTAGATGACTACTACTATTGTTTTCAGTGAAGATTTACCGATATGGGAATTATGTTGATATCCAGTGTTTTTCATGTACACCTCTGCTAATGCTGATGCCAATATATACGCGTTTCTAAAAAGCTGGAAATGGCACTAAGTATATCTGGATTAGCATTACAAAGAAATATTTATTTGTAGATGGTTACAAAAGCAGTAAAATAAATAAATTCCAGGCATTTTAGTCCAGCAGCCCAGCAGCAGTGAAGACGTTGTCAAATATTAGTTGAAAATATAAGTAAAATCTACTCATCTATCCTATTCTCATGCAGATTTTTTACCAATTATTTGCCGATGCTGATATAATTCCGTTATCATTGGGCATCCCTAGTTTTTAGCTATGCTACTTTCCTCACAGGCAACAATCAGAGTCAGAAACTACATAAGCAAGTCTGTTTGGGATTACTTAACATACTGAGGCAGGTGGTTCAGGCATGTTGCTGATTCGAGGGGCACAAGCTTCTGTAACATGTACACCGGTGCAAAACTAAGGGCCAACTTTGGTAAACTGGATTTTCACTGACTTTAACAGCAACTTGTTTAGCAGTGCCTCTGCTCTATCCAGTATCTGTAGTGAGGGAATCAGGTTTCTGACCTGGGTGTGTATTGGGAGGGTAGTGCTGAGGATGGGGCTCCGTATGACCATCAGGGGGGCCGCTGGCATGGTGCGCTGGGCTGTAGCAGGATGAGTAATTCGAGGGAAGGGGGGAGGTGGAGTCAGATTGGTATCCCGAGGCGTACCCTCGGCTCTCCGAGGGTGAGGGCTGGTAGGGCGAGCAGGGGCAGGTCTGGTGAGGTGTCTGATAGCCGCTGGAGCTGCTGCTGTACTTTAGGTCCGGGTGGGCGTGTGAGTGCGACCTGGAAGGCTCGGGGTATGCTGGGTGGCCAGATGGCAGTGGGTCGAAGGCGAAGGTGGGCACCTCATGACCAGGGGGTCCATAGGGTGCCACAGTGGCTCTTCTATGCCAATACTCCACCTCTCGCTCTCTTTCCCATTGAAGCTCTGCCTCTCTTTCCCTGTCCCAGTGGAGGGATGCCTCTCGACCCCGCCGTAACCCCGCCTCCCAGTGCAGCTCAGCCCCTCTTGGAATGTCAGACTCCCTGGCTCGCCTTAATCCGCCTTCTCGGGGAAGCTCTTCCCTCTCCCAATGTAGGCCCTCGCCTCTGTCAAGACGTAAGGCATGGAATTCCTCGCGTCTCAGGCAGCAGTCCCGGCATGGGCAGCCAGGAGGGGGCAGGCTGTCCATCAGCATCACGTCATGGTACGAACCAGCTGGTTTGGGGTGGTGTGGATGGTTGTGATTGTGGTGGGGCTGGGGGTAGGGGATGTATTCGTCTGCCCTGCACAGGAGCCGGCCACCAGAAGTGAGAGTATGAGGGCCGAGGTCCTGGGATGGATATGGGCACAGGTGCCTGGAGGGCCCCTCAGAGCATGACCGATGCAGGTAGTGCTGTGGCCCTTGCTGCCGGTCCCACAGCAGGTCTGGAGGTGGAAGGGACTGATGTGGGTGGACGCTGTGGTGCTGGCACAACCCTAGCAGGGGTGGCATCGGGGAAGATGCCCCCGTGTGGCCGTTAGTGGCAGGAGCAGAGCGATCTAGGCAGTATCCATTGGGTAAGTGGTGGAGGCGGTCACAGCCAGGCTCAGCACAGCGCTGCGATCTGTAGCCCACCCGACATGAACAGGAACGAGCTAAACGCAGAGATCCCGTTCGCTCAGGGGGCAAGGAGTCGCCGTCATCCAAAATAGCCGTCTCTCTCTCGCGATCTCTCACACCCCTCTCACCCTCGATGCCTCCCAGCAGGCGGTCCAGCTCCTCCCGCTCCTGCTGAGTGGGCGGTGCTGGTCTGGGTGCGTCCTCCAGACGTTCGGGTGGGACTGAAGAGTGTCCGGAGTCAGTGCTGACTGACAGGAGCTGACTGGGCCTCTCCTCGGAGCTCCGTGGAGGGCTGCCATTGGTAGAAGGGAGGGAGGAGGAAGCTGCAGCACGCCGTTTCTTCACCTGAGCGTACAGGCTGCCATCCAGAGGCCCTCGGGTGTGTGCAATATCTTAGAAAAAAAAGAAGAAACGTCGTTAATTACACTGAATACTTCAAAGGGCTAAAATGATAACTTTAAACTACATATTATTCAGTTATTAATCTTAAGACTTTCTGAAGATCAGTCATGACAATTAATGGTAACAGTACCATGACACTGTTATATTATACATACATAATTTGTCATGACAACTCATGGCAGCATCAATGTTTATGACACTGTTATGTCAATGTTATGTATCTCTAACTTTACAGGAGAAAAACTCTTAACGTGAAGTTAATGGAAAGAGATTTTCCCAAAAAATTTGGAGGATTTCACCCTGAAATATTAACACAATGTAAAGAACAGCTGAAATGCTCAAAAAGAGAAACACAAGTCACTCAACAGTACAGACACATATACAGGCCCCTCTTTAGTATAAGAGGTTAAAACAAATCTCTCCCAGGCAAACTAAATCTTAAAAGGTGTGTAAAAAGGCTAGGCCAGTACAGGTTATCATACCTTCAAGGCTGTCCTGATGTCTCTGGTTAAAGTTCTCATAAGAGTCCCAGCGCACCACTGGATCAGCTGTGTTATAGTCCACTGTGACCGCTGGATCATTTCGCTGGTATTCTCGCCCTAAAACACACATACACTCACTTTTAAGACTGATAGTAGCAGCAAATCTTAGTACGGTAGTTGCACAAAGAACTAGAGTATTAAGCCCCCAGCTGTTTGTGTGGTACACAGTTTTACAACACGGTCTTTGTATAAAGTCATCTTTGGAAACGTCCATTTTTGTGTCCCTAGCGTTTAGAGATATATTACATTTGAAAAATATGTTAGGGTTACAATTCATTAATATTTTAAAATAAAACAAGTTATTTTATCAATTACACCTTCTCGCGCCTCAATTTAGCAATATTGTTTTTTAAATCAATCATATAGAATTCCAAGCACCACAGAAGAGCTTGTCCTCACAGTCATGTGTGAAGGGTGAGGCCATATTTTGAGGTAAAAAACTGCAATTTTAACTGTAATAATCTATACATGACTATGAAATATATGATTTAAAAGACAAAGAAAATAAATGCCAAATAAATATTATAAAATATGTAATGAAAGTTGTTGTCTCCAGGAGTCGTGTCACTGGTGTTACTGTGTAACAAAAAATCTCTTATTTTGAAATAAAAGTCACACTGATGACATCACTCGACTTCCTTTTACCTGTTTTCTGAGGATCTATGAAGAAAAGCACATGGTGAGTCCACTGTGTCTTTCAGTTATCAGAGATTTTCTCATTTAGCTCATGATTTCATATGAAGCTTTTAGCTGAAGTCACTGGTGTGACCGACTTTATTCTAAAGGTAATTGAGAAAAAATACAAAACATATGGATTAAATTCCATATTTTAGTGGATATTCCATGATTGACAACGTGGTTTGATGCTCTGTAGCAGCCATTTAGTAAAATGCATTGTTCATTAAAAATGTCTCTGGTGTTCCCTTTATTATGTGGAACACCAATGAGGATCGGTAACACCAGTGACTCCTATGAACAGATAGAAAAGTGGACGTTTCTGTAGAATGACCCATATGTATATATCAATAAGGCATAAATATAAAACAAATAAATAAACACAAGAACACAACTAACACTGTACTACAATTCACACGAATGACCAAAACGCCAAACGTTACAAATAAGTATCAATGACACAAAATACCTTTGATTTTCTCTGGTCCAGAGGAGAAAACAAATTCCACAGTGGCATCAGGAGGAAATCTGTCATCTACAGAGACAAACGAGAGACAATTATGTGAGTGTAGAGAGAGACTATCAGCCCTAATCTCCAGCCAATTTAGTGCTTCATTACACTATTAAACGTCGGGCAGCGGTCTCACATTACAGGACGGATAAAAGTTGAGGAATTTTCCCAGCATTTTAGAGGCAGTTGAGTCACTCCCTTGCTCTGTTAGAAAGCCTACAGAGAATCTATAGAGTGCATGTCATCTCAATTAGCCAGCTGTGTTAGGCAGGTGTTATCCAGTGGGACTGGGCCTGGGCCCAACGGATTATGGACTGATATCAAGAACAGCTACAAAGCGCGATGTGGTTGAAATGGATCTTGACTGGGGACCTTATAGAAGACTCATACTGAACGTTTCTGACAGGTTTTACTTCTCCAACACTGAACAGTCACGGGTTGTTGCAGCATTACATGCTGTAAAATTATACTATATAAATATGGCAAAGCTATAAGAGTTGAAGACAGACTTCACTGTTTTAAGTTAGTGTACCTGAACAAGCTTCATCCAGCTCTCCTTTCCCAAACCACAGCTGCGCTCCATGGATGGTGCAGGTGTGGAACTGCAGTCGAAACACAGTGTCCCTCTCAGCAGCCTGTACTCGTCTGTGATAGCACTTCACCTATGAGGGAGGGGGAGGGGGGGGGGTCTTTATTAAGCCAATATGCTCAAACTCTCTACAACACTCATCACCACAGATTCTAAAATTCTAATTTAAATAAAAAATAAATCAACGATTTTCTTTCTTTAACAATTATAAATAAATTATGCTTCATGATAAGAGAGCAACAGAGACAAATAGAGACAGACAAAGAAGGGTCAATATGAGAGTAAGACAGAGAGAGAGAGACACAGAGAAAGTGGCAAAGAGAGACAGAGGCCCAATCCCATTTCTTATTTTTACCCCTACCCCTTGTTTTCGAGTGTCTCCTTGCCCCTCAGAACTGAGTTACAGGGTAGTGGTTGAAATCTTCCCTCTGAAATGGGACCCTCAAATAAAAAGAGCATCACTTCATTAACAGCTACCAGCGCTGCTCTGTAGGCGACCCTGCCAGTCTGCAGTGACAGCAGAGGAGGGTAAAGTTCAGCTCCTCACTGCTGGGCTTTAGTTACATTTAGGGCATCATATGATCTTCAAAGAGGGGGGCAATTATTTATTATCACCCAACCCTAATTCTTCAGTGATATGAAGCTGAAGTCAGATATTCACCAGCTTCTTGTTTGAATTTTCCTGTTCCACCTTAAATGGAGCAGCAGTTCTGAAGCCTGAGGGGTCAGAATGGAACTACTAAACCATTTAAGGTGAAACGGGAAATTTAGCCAGCTACTGAGACGTCAGCACTACTAGTGATTTTTTATGGTTGTTATGAAGAAAATGACCATAATAAATTGAAATGACATTAAACTAAGAAAATACAATGGTTATTGTAATTTTTTAACAGAGGAAATTCTCACATTTGTGGGTTTCTTTGGTCTCTTGTTCTCCATCTTGCTGGTTTTTCTTTTTTTCTCATAACTCTCTGTTCGGAGTCTCTGAAAAACCTCCGTTTGGAGGGTCATGTAGCCCCAACACTTCACCCCACCCCTCTATCTCAACAAGAATCGGGACACCCTCCCCCTAGACGTGAACGCGCAAAACAGAGGGCTAAGGGCTCAGAGGTAGGGGCGAGGGGTGAAATGGGATTGGGCCAAAATGTGTGGAGTGCTTGGACCCTGATAATTGCAACTTGCAATGTAATTTGCAGATGACAAACATGTTTTACATCAATGTCAAAACAAAAACAAAGCAAAAACACCTGATTGTCTTATTCACAAAAAGTGATAATGTTCAAATAGGTTGCATGTTACAATTTCTAACGTGATCAGTGATCTGCACTGGAATACTTTTATAAAGTAACTTTCCCAACCTTGTCTAAATCGCAAATAGGGACCCATTTTGATGACAGCTGAGCTTACGGGAGAAACAGGATCCGACTCAGAGATAGAAAATGTGGTATAAAGTGTGTATATGTGTGTAATATGGTCAAATAAGGGAAGTGGCTACATGTTTGATGGATAGCCTTACGCACCATGATGTCACCTTTCAGCAGCAGAGCAGGCTCAATGGTCACACACAGCTTCCTGCCCGTTGAGCCCTGCAAATCACTACAGAACACACACACACACACACACACACACACACACACACACACACACATACACACACAGATGCATATCATTACTGTCGCACTGTGCAATTTTGTGTTTTTTTTTTGTTTTTTTTTTACTTTTTGGCTTCTTGGAGAACACCAGTAACTCTGCAGTGTTAAAATTTCGTGATAAATTGAACAGTTAAAATGATCAAAAATTATTCAGAAAAAAATCTGATCACATTGACTTCCATTACAAGTTAAGAATGTTTTTCCTTCTCCTGTAAAACTGCCATCACACACACAAGCTCAGGAGCTGCACATGCTAGGAATGCAGTTAAGGCTTGATACTCTATATGTCCAATCAAGTGACCTGACTTTCAAGTGACCATATAAGTGATCTGCTTCTCCAATGTTTCTTCTGAAATCAGGGGTATTAACACCCTCTCTCTGATGTGTGCACCCTCGTGGCAGAAAGACAAAGTATGAGATGCTGTCTGTTTTGGAATTTTAGGATTTTATAAATCATGTACTGTAAGCCCAGCTTTACTGACGTTGGGCACTGACATTGCATGGCTGGCTCTGGATCACAATTGCCAAGCTTTAACTCATCCCAGAGGAACTGGACAGAACTCCATCACTCCAGAGAACACCACCGCAGCCCAATGATGAGGGGCTTTATACGCCTCTAGCTGACTCTAAATTTGACTTGACTGGGTTTCAGGACTGGAGCTGAACTCTGAACTAACTGCACTAGCAAACTTACAGAATCACGTCTGTCGAAACACGACGTCGTTTTCCGACCCACGACATTCAGTCTGATATTTAACGCTTATGTTTCTTCATTCAAACGTCATTTAAATCAGAAACAGAGAGTGAAGTTATACCGGCGGTCTGCAGCTCCGTTAGGGGGACGACTGTTCATCTCTCGGCTGATAACATCAGCTGAAGTTATCTGAAGGCCAGCATTGATCTCATCTGTGTTAATTAGCTGATGTCGTTACCCTCCTATGATCACAGAGTTTATCTCCTCTTTATGCAACACCATGGGATCCTTTACCCACCCTGACGTGAAGAGCCGGTGGGCTTCTGTGCTTTTAAATGCTGTGAGAGACTCTCCAGAATGGGGGAGGGGCTGAGTATGAGATAAATATAAACGTCAGGAAAACACAGATTTGGCAGCTTTTGACAGTTTAAGTGGGATCAGGAGTTCAGGGGGAAACTGTATAAGGATCTCGCTTATTTATCGACTTTGTCAAGGAAAAGTTTTTTATCTTCCAAAGTGAGGTGAGTAATTTTAGCCATCTTTCACCTCTAGTTATGTTCGTGTGGAGCAGCAAAGCCAGAAATTCTGTCCCAACAGAAAAATCATGTGACTGATAGTCGGCTTCAAGCAAATATTTGGGTCGAAGTTTGATTTCTCTATGACAAAAATGAATGGAAATGTCCCAAATCTCCTACATTTCGTCTTATGTACATTTTCCACTGGACGCCAATGGATCCTCTGAATTGCAAGGTTGGTAAGAAGTGAAATCCAAAGGATCCAGTGACATTCAGTGAAAAAATGTATGCCGGACAAAACTTATCAGGTTTGGATCATTTTGTTTACTACAGGGTGCTATAGCGGGGACTTTTATATGCCATTCATTTCTGTCATAGAGAAATCTAACATAGACCCAAATAAGGGAATGATCCCATCCCATACAGAATGACACACTTCTTTTGCACATGTAAGGTCACGATGTCCAATGCCAAATGTCAGCTAGAGGGGTCTTTAAAGCCCCTCAGCATTGGGCTGTGGCGCAGTGGAACATATATAGGCCAGATGATGACTACAGAATGACGACATAACTTCAGTGTTCTATCCTGTAGGCCCCATGTGTCAAACATGGCCTTGTGGTCAGTCAGACCTGTGACACAATCCTATTCGGCCCGCAAAATTAGTTTAATTTTCTATTATTATTAGATCATTTCACCATGAGCTGCACTACAATTCCCAGCATGCACTGCAACATGATGTGCGCTCTGACCCCCTTCTATGGGCCAGCGGTTACACAAAAATATTAAAAAAAATATTTTTAAACTACCTCCTGGGGATATTAAACAAGTGTAACAGTTATCTGTAGATAATGCAGCACATTAATTCATACAAAGCAATTTGTTTTTAATTAAAATAATCTTTGAATAGTTCAAATATTCAGTGCCTATTTTGCTGTTGCAGTTTTTGTACACAGATCAGGCTTAACATTCTGACCACCTCCTTGTTTCTACGCTCATTGTCCATTTTATCAGCTCCACTTACTATATAGGTGCACTTTGTAGTTCTACAGTTACAGACTGTAGTCCATCTGTTTCTCTGATACTTTGTTAGCCCCCTTTTACCCTGTTCTTCAGTGGTCAGGACCCCCATGGACCCTCACAGAGCAGGTACTATCTGGGTGGTGGATCATTCTCAGCACTGCAGTAACACTGATGTGGTGGTGGTATGTTAGTGTGTGTTGCGCTGGTACGAGTGGATCAGACACAGCAGTGCTGCTGGAGTTTTTAAACACTGTGTCCACTCCCTGTCCACTCTATTGGACACTCCGATCGTGTCAGTCCACCTTGTAGATGTAAAGTCAGAGACGATAGCTCATCTGCTGCTGCACAGTTTGTGTTGGTCATCCTCTAGTCCTTCATCAGTGGTCACAGGACGCTGTTGGCTGGATATTTTTGGTTGGTGGACTATTCTCAGTCCAGCAGTGACTCTGAGGTGTTTAAAAACTCCAGCAGCACTGCTGTGTCTGATCCACTCAGACCAGCACAACACACACTAACACACCACCACCACGTCAGTGTTACTGCAGTGCTGAGAATGATCCACCACCCAAATAGTACCTGCTCTGTGAGGGTCCATGGGGGTCCTGACCACTGAAGAACAGGGTAAAAGGGGCTAACAAAGTATCAGAGAAACAGATGGACTACAGTCTGTAACTGTAGAACTACAAAGTGCTCCTATATAGTAAGTGGAGCTGATAAAATGGACAATGAGCGTAGAAACAAGGAGGTGGTCAGAATGTTATGCCTGATCTGTGAACATCTGCATGTGTGCAACTGAACGCCTACGTCAGCAGAAGAATGTAGCTTCATTTGAACACATTTTAACTCACTATATGCCCGAGGTGTAGACCAGCTGCATGGACTGATAGATCTTCAGGAAGGGAAAATAGCCTGCAGAGAGACGGGGATAAAGGAAAAAAGAGAGAGAATGAGATATGAGATAGAAGGAGGGAGGAATGTGCTAACTCCTCCGAAATCTCTCTCCTCCACTGCAAAACATTCAAAACAAACATGCCCTGTTTGTGTGTTCCTGCTTGTAGGCCTGTTTTGGGTGGGAGCGATCGCTGAGTTACTCTTATACACAGTCATACTTAACACACCATCACATCAGTGTGATGATCCCTCAACAAAGAGCAACAACACAGGTGAGGTCAAGCAGCGTCCATCCTCCACTCCACTCACCTCCATCTGCCTGAAACTTGGGGATGGTGGGAATGAGGACCTGGTGGAGGAAGAGAGGACTGCTGTTCATCTTTATGGCCCCTGACAGAAGGCCGCCAAAGTAATAGATATACCTGCGAAGACAAGGGGAGAGGTGGTTTGTCCCTTTCCTTTAGTGTGGATGGTCTGAAAAGCTACAAGTACAAGCCAGAAGGAGTAACTCTCCCCCACACAGACCAGCAGCCTGAAATGCCTCATTGGAATTCCAGCCTTTTTGCTTTGTAATAGCGTGACATGCCCTCACACAACGCACAGCAACTACTGGACGCTGGGAAGAGCTCAGTTCAGCTCTGTAGCCATGCTGAGAGGACACTGTGCTCTGTGATATGAGGGGAAATCTCCTTTGTATCTTTGCTCTGCCAACGGTAAAGCCACGAAAAAATCAGTGGTTGAAATTCGTGCAGGGGTGGAAATTACAGCAGGATGCCACTACTGCTTTCAATCGCTCTGGCGGTTGACCAATGAGAACAGAGTGGGCAACCTGACCAAAGGCTTAAAGACAAAGGAGCTCTATCAAAGCGTTTCAGACAGAGGGTGAATAATGAATGTGAAATGTGAAAAATAATGTGTTTTGGGACATTGAAGCATGTAAATCTACTCTAGTAGACCACCCAAATAAAAATATGAACACTGAAAATGAGCAAAATAATTCCTCTTTAATGTTTATTTACATATTTCTGGGCTAGTTTCATAAACACCTACTCCAACAATACGTAACATACCGTATATATTGTATTTATAGTATTATGTGTATATCGCTGCTGTCTGAACAAAACCTCTTTTCTAAACGTTTTTCAGTTTTTGACATATTTTGAAAAAAACATACAGTCCTTTATATTCTGCGTAAATTTTAGGATGGATGGACCAAAAGAAATGGACCAAAATTCTGTGGTAAATGTCTGGTTCCATTGACTTACATTATAAGTAAAGTATGTTTTTTCCTGCTCCTGAAAAGTTACCATTTTGGAGATACAAGGTTTTCTTCTGACAACAGCGATATATACATGTATCTATCATTCACAGATATAGCTATAATTGTGTATATATTGTTTATATAGTTATATATTTCATTAATGTCATTTATGCCTATTATTGCACATTTGCACTGTCTGTTTTGCACTATTGCTACTATTTGCACTTCTGGTAGATGTAAACTGCATTTCGTTGCCTTGTACTTGTACTGAGCAATGACAAAGTTGACGCTACTCTACAGTTTCCATTTGTGCCAGAGGGGGCGACAAAAAGCCTTAAGGTCTTTTCATATGGACTGAAAGTTTTGTCTTGAAACAAACAAAAAAACAAACAAATAAATAAACTAGAAAACAATTAAAACTGTACACATTAACAGAGTGAGTCTGTGTTGGTCTTTTTTAGCAGAATGGGCTGTTGAGCAGTACCTGCGTCTTCTGTATCGGCTGAAAAAACAATAACTTTGTTGCCGTTACTACTTAATGGATCCGGTTCTGCCAGGTTCAGAGTGTTTGGTCCATTTTACAATAAAGCAACCATTCTAAAGGGTTTCTGAGTGGTTCAAAATCTACAGCTGAAATAACACCTTAAATATAGTTAATAATGACTGATTGGGAAGACAAAGAAGGATAAGTAGTAGTAAAAATAAATGTGGGTGCGTTATTTGGCAAAACATTTTTATTTATGTATAACTTATACATAAACAATAATTAATTATTTTAATTATTAAATTATTAAATAATTATTTTTAAATAATTATTTATTATTAGTATAATTATTAAAAAATTAATAATCATTTTTAAAGTGTTTATGACCTAATTAATAGCCATTAATTAACTTATTTTAAACCATTCACAAACGCTTTATAAGGGTAGCCTTATTGTAAAGTGGTACAGAGGGTTTAACTGAGTCTGTTTATTGGACTTAATGTTTTCAGCGTTTCGTTGCATCTGTTGTTTTCATTCGTGGTGAAAGACGTCATTCAACTAAAATAAAGAACGAAAACCACTGAACTGACGCTGTTTTACTCTGTGTATCAGTCTGTGACACGCACTTATGTAGCGCCTCACAGGGCAGCTCACTGTAAAAGCAGTGAAACTAGGACTGTTGTTGTGACTCTGAGCTCTGTTCGCTCAAACAAAGGAAAAATTACCTATCAATTACATAGACGTTATCAATAACTATCCTTAAATTAATTAGTGGTCCCAGCCCTAACAAACATACCTGTTCTGCGAGGGCTGCAGAGAAGACGACACCTTATCCTCACAGAACTTCCTCATAGCCAGAGTGCTGAGAGCCTGATCCGCCCTGCATACGAACACACAGATCAAACACATCGCTTAATAATCAGACACATGAATCAGCAACACAGTGCTTGTTTGAAGTTTACACACACAGGAAATATCAGTGTTGTATTATGATTAATATCACCTTTATTAGAGAAATAATAATGTGCTTTCTATTATATGTCAGCTGTGAGTTATTCTTTTCAAAAACTCATTATATACTAGACTGTCAAAAATGGAGCTGGGTCATTCTACAGAAACGTTTACAGATATGTTACACTTTAAAATACGTTAGGGTTACAATTTATTAATATTTTAAAATAAAACAATAAGTTATTTTAACAGTTACACCTTCTTGAGCCTCAATTTAGCAATATTGGTTTTTAAATCAATCATATAGAATTCCAAGCACCACAGAGGAGCTCGTCCTCACAGTCGTGTGTGAAGGCTGAGGCCATATTTTGAGGTAAAAAACATGTTTTTCTGCAATTTTAACTGCAATAATCTATACATGACTATACAATATATAAATTAAATGACATAAAGAAAACAAATATATATTATAAAATATATAATAAAAGTTGTTGTCTCCAGGAGTCGTGCCACTGGTGTTGCTGTGTCACGAAAAACTCTTATTTTGAAATAAAAGTCACACTGATGACATCACTTGACGTCCTTTTACCTGTTTTCTGAGGATCTATGAAGAAAAGCACATGGTGAGTCCACTGTGTCTTTCAGTTATCAGAGATTTTCTCATTTAGCTCATGATTTCATATGAAGCTTTTAGCTGAAGTCACTGGTGTGACCGACTTTATTCTGAGGTCATTGTGAAAAAATAGAATACAAATGGATTAAATTCCATATTTTAGTGGATATTCCATGATTGACAACATGTGGTTTGATGTTCTGTAGCAGCCTTTTAGTAAAATGTATTGTTCATTAAAAATGTCTCTGGTGTTCCTTTATTATGTGGAACACCAGTGACTCCTATGGACAGATAGAAAAGTGGACATTTCTGTAGAATGACCCATACACAGTATTTTGTAATTAACTGTTATTTGTAGACACTTGTGTTAATGTCATTTAAAATGAATGATATAAACTTTTATGTGTATTTCAGTCTGAAATGTGGCCCTTTGAGATTTACTGACTCAGGCATATATTTACTTATATTTAGTTACCCCTTTATGCTCTACTGTTCAAAAGTTTGGAGTCCTAATATAAAACCAATTTGGTTGCAGATGACTATGCAAAACAGCTCAATGTGCTAATCTTGTACAATTCACAGCTTTGGAGTTTTGTTCCAAAATGCTGTAAATCTACATAGAATAATTTTGGATATAACAAGTTTTTGAATAGAATACCAGCTCATGTACGATGGACAACACAGCGTCTTTCTAGGTGGTATTAATCTTAATAAAGCATTAATAATATTTGTTGTATGTGGAAAGCCGACTCGCAACAACGGATATCACGAAAAAGAAAATTCTTGACAGCATCTATACTGCAATTTAGATCAAAACCCTTCAAACAATTAGTAGGACACTAAGAAACCGTAAATAAAAAAAAATTGGCCATAAAATGATTGGAGCCACTGAAGATTCTTCATCTAAAATGTCATTTAATTGAATCTAAAACTGAGAAAACTTTACTAAATCAAGAATTAATTTATTATAATAAAATTAATATCCAGATTATCATTATATTCCAAAGTGAACAAACCTCAAGGAAGAGAAATTGATGGAAAATGTAAACAGATAATTATCATTTTAAAAACCTCTCAAAAAATTAAATAAAACATCTAAAAACACATTTTGTAGTGTTTAAATCCACACTGTATATGTTTGTATATAAAATAACAAAAATATTTAAAATGACTTTTGAACAGTAGAACAATTTCTCTCTTGCATGAAGTAAATGAGCCATAATGAAGCTGACTGAGAAAGTAAAATGAACGAAGGCTTAATTTAAAATATGCTATTTCTTTATAGCTTATTTGTCTTCCAGTTGTGATGATGCAATTTTAGCAAACTTTATCAGGTGCTGACGATATAAATATAGCATCAGTTCTCATCATGAGTGATGCTGAACTGAACCGATCTGTTGGACCGACTCACCCTGCTGATATCTTGCTGTAGTGCATGTAGGCTGCGATGATGACGCCCGTCTTTCCCTTATTTCCCTTTAGAAAGACACCAGTGTTTAATATGTGCTGGACAGACATAAAGAATTCAGTGTAGTTACTGAAATAACGCTGATGTTGCTTCTATTCAACCTCCTTTATTCCAGCTGTTATTCATTCTATATAAAATAAAATACAGAAACTAGTATTAATATCCAAACCAGCTCTACTCCCTCTGCTCTCCTCTCAGAGATCACAGTGCTAAGGTATTGAGTAATGACATCAACGCTGACTGCACACAGGGTGGTCTATGGCTTCTCGCCTTTGGTCTCTGAAGCAATGTGACCTTCAGTGACCCCTCCAAAACCACTTGTGACCCTTTACCTTGCAGTGCAGGACCACCACATGCTGGGGGTCAGAGTTCAGCCAGGTTTCCATGGCTTTACACATGGCGCAGATTTTGTCCAGTGGGGGGGCGTGCAGGTCCGGCCAGCCGAAGTCATGGACCTGAGAGAGGGAGAGAGAGAGTGAGTGAGACAGAGTGAGAGAAAGAAAGTGAAAGAGTGTGAGAGAGAGAGAGAGAGTGTGTGAGCGAGAGAGAGAGAGACAGAGAAAGGGATAGAGAGTGAGAGGGAGATAGAGAGAGAGAGAAAGACAGAGAGAGAGAGAGAGAGAGATATAGAGATAGAGAGAGAGTGAGAGAGAGAGATAGAGAGACAGAGAGAGAGTGAGAGAGACAGAGAGAAAGATATAGAGATAGAGAGAGAGAGACAGAGAGAGAGAGATAGAGAGATAGAGAGAGACAGAGAGAGAGATAGAGAGAGAGAGACAGAGAGAGAGATAGAGAGAGAGAGATAGAGAGACAGAGAGTGAGAGAGATAGACAGAGAGAGAGACAGAGAGTGAGAGAGAGAGAGAGATAGAGAGAGACAGAGAGAGAGATAGAGAGATAGAGAGAGAGAGAGAGAGAGAGAGATGTCTGAGAGTAATAAACTATAAATGTATGTGGGATAAAAATCACAGCCAGCCTACCTTGGGGTTGAGTCGTGTGATGTCATGCCTTCTCTCAGACAGGTTGAACAACTGCAGATGATAAACAAACATATGAAGCAGGACAAAAAAACACAACAGACGCATCTCTGTCGTCATTCTTTTGATTCTTTTATGTTTTATTTAATGATTGACACAAATTTTGCAAGGAAAAACACAAGCTACAGTCTTAGACCTACAAAGGGTACCAACACGCTGTGTCTGATACTGAGCGGACAGTAAGTAAGTCTATACCAGGGGTCGGCAAAACTCGGCTCCGGAGCTCCTGAGCTGTGAAAGCAGCATTACTGACCAGAAACTTGTCCTGATGTTTGGACTTGAGCATGGAAGCCACTTCTTTGAGGTTGAGGCGATAGCGCTGCTCCTCCAGCAGAGGGGGGAAGAAGACGGAGATGATCCGCTCAGTTATGTAGGTGAGGTCAAAGTCATACTGACGCTCCATCACTCTGTCCATCACCCGGTCAACACTGAAACTCCTGAGAGAGAAAGAGAGAGAGAGGGACAGAGAGATGGATGGATGGATGGGAAAATAAAGAGAAGGACAGAGATTTACAGGAACAGCGAGAAAGAAAAAGAGAAGGAAAGAAAAGGAAAGAAAGGACAGACAGATGGATGAATGGATGAATCAAGAAATAAATAAAGAAATAAATAAAGAAAGAAAGAAAGAAAGAAAGAAACGGATGTAAAAAGAAGGGGTAGTTTTTGAGGGATAGAGAAAGAAAAGGAAAGGGGTAACAGAGAAAAATAAATAAGAAAGAAAGAAAGAAAGATGGATGGATATAAAAGAAAGAAGGACAGAAATTTAAAGGAACAGAAAAACAAAGGAAAAGTTTGAAGAAAGAAAGAAAGAAAGAAAGAAAGAAAGAAAGAAAGAAAGAAATGTAAAAAAGAAGGGGGGGATTTTGAGGGATAGAATAAACAAATGAAAGGGGTAAAAAAGAAAGAAAGAAAGAAAGAAAGAAAGAAAGAAGAAATAAGTGTAAAAAAGGGGGAGACATTTAGAGGAACAGAGAAAGAAAGAGAAAGAGAGAGAGAGAGAGAGAGTGAGAGAGAGAGAGAGAGAGAGAGAGAGAGAGAGAGAGAGAGAGAGATTAACACTGAGAAACGCTCCTGTCCTCTGGGCTGTATGGTGTCTCTGCACACACAGGATCAGCTGAGAGAGCCTCATGTATCTCAGGCAGCTGATAAATCTCAGGTGAGAAACGCGCTGCAGGGTAAAACCCACTGTCTGATCTAAAGTCCGATTTCAGCAGGTTTGATAAGAACCAGCCGAACTCCAGCAGGAATGACTGAGCGCTCTGACACATAGTTGAGCGATGACTCCGTCTTCTCCGCACACTAATCCTCACTCGAAGCCGGCAGAGATCAGCCTGACAAGCTTTCGCTTCAGCCCACAGATAACAGCCCAAATTTATGATCAAATAAAAATATGCTGGGATTTGGCCATTAATCCAGGATGTTTGTGAGGAGTAACTGGCTGAGGCACTGATACCATCTCACTGCTGCGGTTCAAACTGAGGGCTCAGCAGCATCACTGTGGGAGATTTACCTGGGCAGAGTGCTCCTCTGTTTGGTGTACGTCAGAGACTTGGTTGAGCCCTGCAGAGAGGAAGAGCACAGATTACACGATTACATACCACAAACACACACACACGCCTGTATTGCTGCCTTTGTGAGGTATTTCCTTCTTTCAACACAGTTCCGACACTCTTAAAGGACCCGTATCCTACATTTCTGATCATTTATATTAAACGAACTCTTTTCTGATTGGCTGTCCTGAATTGTGCCTCATCTAACAAGCAATGCAGGCTGATACACTCTTCATAATTTCAGTGGAAACAGGTGGGGCTAAACTGCTGTGGGTTGAATGGGCAGATACACTATAAGTATTCACTCACCCATCCAAATCATTGAATTCAGGTGTTCCAATCACTTCCATGGCCACAGGTGTATAAAACCGAGCACCTAGGCCTGCAGACTGCTTCTACAGACATTAGTGAAAGAATGTGTCGCTCTCAGGAGCTCAGTGAACTCCAGCGTGGTACCGTGATCGGATGCCACCTGTGCAACAAGTCCAGTCGTGAAATTTCCTCACTACTAAATATTCCACAGTCAACTGTCAGTGGGATTATAACAAAGTGGAAGCGATTGGGAACGACAGCAGCTCAGCCACGAAGTGGTCGGCCACGTAAAATGACAGAGCGGGGTCAGCGGACGCTGAGGCACATAGTGCGCAGAGGTCGCCAACTTTCTGCAGAGTCAATCACTACAGACCTCCAAACTTCATGTGGCCTTCAGATCAGCTCAAGAACAGCGTAGAGAGCTTCATGGAATGGGTCTCCATGGCCGAGCAGCTGCATCCAAGCCTTACATCACCAAGCGCAATGCAAAGCGTGGAATGCAGTGGTGTAAAGCGCCGTCACTGGACTCTAGAGCAGTGGAGTTTTCTGGAGTGACCAATCACACTTCTCCGTCTGGCAATCCGATGGATGAGTCTGGGTTTGGCGGTTGCCAGGAGACGGTACTTGTCTGACTGCATTGTGCCAGCTGTAAAGTTTGGTGGAGGGGGGATTATGGTGTGGGGGTGTTTTTCAGGAGGTGGGCTCGGCCCCTTAGTTCCAGTGAAAGGAACTCTTAATGCTTCAGCACCAAGAGATTTTGGACAATTTCATGCTCCCAACTTTGTGGGAACAGTTTGGGGACGACCCCTTCCTGTTCCAACATGACTGCGCACCAGTGCACAAAGCAGCTCCATAAAGACATGGATGAGCGAGTTTGGTGTGGAAGAACTTGACTGGCCTGCACAGAGTCCTGACCTCAACCTGATAGAACACCTTTGGGATGAATTAGAGCGGAGACTGCGAGCCAGGCCTTCTCGTCCAACATCAGTGCCTGACCTCACAAATGCGCTTCTGGAGGAATGGTCAAAAATTCCCATAAACACTCCTAAACCTTGTGGAAAGCCTTCCCAGAAGAGTTGAAGCTGTTACAGCTGCAAAGGGTGGGCCGACATCATATTAAACCCTATGGATTAAGAATGGGATGTCACTCACGTTCATATGGGTGCGAAGGCAGACGAGCCAATACTTTTGGCAATATAGTGTATATATAAATGAATCAAAAACAGAACTCAAAGCAGGCCGTCTTTGCAGCTAAGTTTCCATATGTGGACTTTGGTGTGAACGATATGTTTTGAAACGTTAACAATCTTTACATTCTACATCGAACTCTTTTACTTTAAAAAAGTGAGGAAAATTCAGTTTTCCAAGACGTGGGCCCATTAATTAAAAAGAATTTACCAACACTGGACCCTGCACTATAAAAAAGATTAAATGTCTTAACTTTAACCTCTTATTGACCAGAGTATATTTTGGTTTTTCCATCTGAATTTACATGACCAAATCGTAAGGCAAATTATTCAGTAACTGCATGAAATAAATGTAAATTTTTATTTTATTTATTTATTTTTTTGTAAAAGCTCCCCTCAAATTAACAGAACATGTGTTTTAACATATTGCTATATGCTTATAATTTACTGCTGAAAGCCAAAAATCTTAGACGCTCTTTGTATTATTTTATAAAAATAATGTTTACAGAGCAGATCACTGAAGAGACGCCATCTGTTTATAGTTTACAGCCCTGATTTGTGGAAAAATCGACTTTCAGTAGAAAAAAAAAGTTGAGTTCAGCTTCTTTTATTATAAGGGTTTAAAATTACATCACCCATCTATTTGACTGGAAAGAAGACAGTTACAGCTCTCATACGACCCCCACCTTTAGAATGTAGCTTATGAAATATGGAAGTTATGAAGAATATGACGAAGTGCGTTTTTGGAACCACCTGGTGGTCTCAAGGAGTTTACAAGGTTAAAAAGTATAGAACCTGGTTGCCTAAATATTTTGAGCTCACCGAACTTAAATAATAAGTTAACCGAATGTAAAAGATCAACGAATTTGAAATCTTACGGCAACCAGGTTACTTAGGTTTTTAAGACAAAACATCATCTTTTACAGTGTAGCCAATTCAGCGAACAGCGAATGAGGAGTTTAGTTACGGTGATTTTTAAAATTTTACCCTCTGTTTTGTGTATAAATGGAATTTTCCCACAACATTGCACGTTTTCCTAGTATTGTGGGGACATTTGGTACCCAGTCAGTCCCACACGCAAGCATACTTTCATCCATCAGTCACGCATTCCCCCGAGTGAGTCAGTGTTGAAGCTCATTAACAAGGCTGAGTATGCAGAACTCGTCAGTGACGCGTTCAGCGATGCTTTAGACAAACACAATCTGACTGAAAACTGAATCCGGAATGTCCTCTGTAAACCTGCTACGCTCCAACTTCTAAGCAACATGACAATTCTTATCATCGTGATGCATTTCTGACCAACTGCATCTGTCATTACAAAGAGAGCATGATTAGTCCTGTTTAATCGGATTTAGTTCAGTGGTTATGTGGCAGTGCTGGCTCCATCTTCCTGGATCCCAAAGTGTCATTCTGAGATGTCCCCAGGGCTTAATTTGATGGGGGATGCAAGGGGATGGAAAAGGGGATGAAAAGGGGATGAAAAGGGGATGCCCTTATATCCATCCATCCCCTTTGTATTAATGTTATGTGAACTCCTATAAATGCATAAGTCACATGGTCTCACTGTAATGAGGCCACATCACATGCTGTAATTCTCCACTTCCAATCATTTGTTTTCCTTTTCGCACTGTATATATGCCACCATCGCAAAGTTGGTACAACACAGGGTTTCTCAACCAGTGGGCCGTGAAGCACTGAACTTAGGGGGAGGCAGATGTTCGCAGTGGTCCGGTAGCGACGTATAAATGATAACACCACAGTAACAGGCTAATTAAACGTCGTCAGTGTGAGACAGCAAGCCGCCGACGCGCAGTGCAGACAGTCAGAGATGGAGAGGTTTCTCAGGGTGTCTCCTGCCTGGTTCGGTGCGGACCAATCAAACTTTTTCCTTTAGTTCACTCTGTTTTGACGTGTGCCAACACTCCACCCATCAGCAAAACCTGCCTGTTTAACGTCTGACTCTTTCCAGACTCTCATTGCTCTCATATCATTCCTGCAGTTCGAGCTGCAGCTGATAAAAACGACAGAGGAGTCCTAAAATAATAGCGAAGATTTAACGACAACTAAGGACAAAAAAGCAAAGTATGGTATATTATTATTGAATATGGTGGCGACTTTTTTGACATCTCTGCATAAATAAGGTTTTTAAACTTGTTCTTCAACATAACTGCAAATTTTGGTTTCTGTGATTGAAGTGAAATGGATGACCTGATCTTTTTCAGGCCCTAATTCAGAAGTTTTCAGTGTGAGCAATTAAGAAACCTGAAGGAACCAGAACCCCTGGTATAACAGATGCTCTCCACAACCTGCAGGAGTAAGGCATGTTTTCAGAAGTCAACTAAGCAGTTTTAGGGTGCGTTCATACTTGTAGTTCAGTTCTCTTGGTCCAGACCAAAGCAGATAATGATGCACACATAAAAGTTCAGCACTGATTGGGCAGATTTCATGAGGTATAACAACAGTGATAACATCTATCAAACTGTCTGAATCTCGACGTTCTCTGCTCTGTCTGTTCTTGTCGGTTTTATTTATGTCTTGTTCTGTGTGCCTTGTGATATTAGAGCAACAAGCCACAAAACAGTAACTGAGTTACTGTGGTTTTGCATGACGCAAAGCAGCCTGATGTTCCTGTAACACAGCTTCTGCCACATTAATACAAAACACCTTTTATGTATGCGGTTAAATATGTACATTGAGTATTTTATAATGACTTCGACCATGCCTCAGTCTCGTTATATAACTGAAACTATCTGTTCTATAATAACAATTCTGAGCTTATGAAGAGATGGTGAACACACGCACATGTACAAAACGTGTGCATGCACTCAACAATCTGATTTCTGCAGTTATCTGATTATTCAAATGGTCATGTAAACACCATACTTCGATCTAGAAATCTGATTAAGAAATCCGATAAAGAGGCTGGATTTTAGCTCAGTAATCAGATTTCTCAGGGCGTGTAAACTCTTACTCTGATTTCTATCGGATTTCTCAGTCTGCGCACGCGCGCGATCAGACGACGGTACCGGAAATAAGGAGGAGAGGCACTTTTGGAGCAGCGCTGAGAGCAATAAAGGATTTAGATATTCCTTATTTTCTAGATGATGTACTGACTTTATGTTACGTTTATGTCACGTCTTTTTCTGTGAGTTTATTGGCTGGTTGTAAAGAAGAAATCTGATTATTGTCTGACTCAAATAAACCCGGAGTTTTCTCAATTATCCGATTACTCAAGTGCATGTAAATGTGTTGATCAGGGGGCTCCCGGGTGGCGCAACCGTCTAAGCGTTGCCCCTCATCAGGAGATCGTGAGTTTGATCCCTGGTGATGCTACAGCCGTCCATAGCCAGGAGTCCGAGAGAGCACAATTGGCCTCGCTCTCTCTGGGTGGGTAGGATGGCCCCTCCCTCTCCCCCCATCACTCAGGTCTCGGAGGAAGCCTGCGTTAGCCTTCACCCTCCTAGCGTTGATAGCATCGTGTGATTGGGGGAGTCCTAACTAGCGGGTGGAATTGGCGACGACTAAATTGGGGAGAAAAATCGGGTAAAAATTATGTGTTGATCAGATTACTGACAAAATCCGATTTTCTGCTGTTACCGGATTATTAAACACACTCAGCATTGGGAATTCATCTTTTCCATGTACCAGACGTCACGCAGAGAGGAGACGGTTCATTCTGGTCTCTATTGTGTTCAAACTTTAAATGAACAGCATGAGATCAGATGAGTTCTCACCCACTCCAGTGAACTCCACTAACAGAACAATCACACCGGGGTTTGTTTTAGTCGAAGCAAACCTGCCGAGTCTGAATGCACCCTAAACGTCTGTAGTGTGGAACTATTTTAATAAAATCATGTACCTTCAGTATCAGTGTTTTGACTGTGTTTTGAGCTATTTTACTGTAGGATGAACTGGCAGCCTAGACTATCTGTGGTAACAAGTAAATTAACTAGCTTTATTCAACCTAAATAAATACTTTGAATGAACGATTCTTTGAATCAAAGTCGTTTTTTGAGTTGAATAAAACTAGTTTAATTGCTCGAATTGAATTTTTTAAAGTAGATCTGATGAGCCACCTTTTACAGTGTTGTACAGGATTTGGGGATTTTGATATCTCTCTGGTGGAAAGGTCTAATTGTACGCACTGTGCGGAAGAACATTTTGTAATGTCGGTTGTGCTTCGGACCCCCATGAACGGATCAGTCTGATAATTGCGAGTGTTGAAAGAGAATTCAAAGAGAACTCGGTCAAAACCTGGCGAAGGACGTGTCTTCCAGGGATGTAGAGAAATGATCTACTATTGTCATCATATCTTCATCAGTATAATGTTGATCTTGCATTTGAGACCTAAATATCGAGCCGGATCCTCTTTTTGACTCTGAAAGTGTGACGTTAATACGTAAAGACGTATGACAGGTCTGTAAAACTCCTGCGAAAGATCCGACACCTCTTAATTTTAAGACAGGGCGACTCACAGCAGCACACACTCCATATCTTATATATTCTTCTTTTCTTTCCTGACTCTGTTACTGTAATGTTACTGTAATGTTACGTCTTTCAGTTCTAACAAAAAAAGTCTTGTGTAGAGCTGCTTTAACTTTAACGTGTATGAAATGAACTGTGCTGCTGTTTTAGCTATGAAAATACAAATACTGGATCAGACTATATGTAGGCCATATCAGTCAATATTAAAGGCCTCGGATTGGACCAGGCAGCAAAAACCGTATCGGGACGTCCTTATTTATAAATGTGAACCACAGAGTGTAACATTGAGAAGCTGCGGCGCTGTGTGATCAGCTGATATCAGCTGTGACTCAGAATCAGCTCAGAGTGAACAAAACATCTATTTCTCATCACAGAAATACTGTGACCTCCGACTGATATAGCAGAGAGAGAGAGAGAGAGAGAGAGAGAGAGAGAGAGAATTATATACAGAGTAAGTGAGAGAATGAAAGACAGCAAGAGAGAGAAAGAGGGGAGATAAAAATGGGTTGTAGAGAGATTTAGAGACATCAAGAGAGCAAAGCAAGAGAGCAAGAGAGAGACAGAGAGAGAGAGAGAGAGGTTGGGGATAAAAGGAGGTAGAGAGAGTTGCAATGAGAAAGAGAGCGAAAGCAAAGCTAGAAAGAACAAAGGCAAAAGAGGGAGAAGGGAGAAAAAGAAAGTTAAAGAGATAGAAAGAGAGCGAGAGAGAGAGTGAGAGTTTTAAAAAAGCCAAAAAGGAAGCAAGAGAGAGAAGGAAAGAATGTCACCGAGAGAGTGAAATAAAAACGGATGCAGAAAGAGTTGGAGAGGGAGAGAGAGAGAGAGAGAGAGAGAGAGAGAGAGAGAGAGAGAGAGAGAGAAAGTAAGGAGAGTCAGAGTGAGGGTGAGAGAGTCAAAAAAGAGAAAGAGGGTGAGAGAAAGATAGAGTTTTTAAAAAGAGACTGAATGCAAGAAAGACAGCCAGAGAGTGAGAGACAAAATAGATGTAGAGAGAGAGCTGGGAGAGAGCGAGCAATAGGGAGAGCTGAGAGAGAGAGAGAGAGAGAAAGCGAGAGAGTCACCGTCAGAGATCCACAGCAGAGACAGATCCTGACTCCATCACCACAGTCTGGCCACAGAAACGGGCAGAGAAAATTTCGTAACAAAATTGAAAAACATTCTCCAAAATTTTGGAATTCTAATCCAAAAAACTACCAATTTTCCTTGTCGAGGGCAACACAGCATCTCTCACTGCAAAATATGTGGCAAAATGTCACCGTCTGAGGGACAGTAACACACCCTGACCCCTCTGACCCCCCAAACCCTCAGTGTATATAAGTTAAATACACTGTCTGTTATTATGTTTATTATTTAGTATATGTTGTCTTATTTATTTACTTTAGTTATTTTATTATTATTATTGTTATTACTTCACTATGACTTATCATCATTATTACTATTACTAACTTATATTGTTATAGTTCTACAAAGTATGTTTCACTTTAAGTTGCACTTTATATGCTTTGGCAACATTGCACTCAAAACAGTTACGCCAGTAAAGCTACTTTGAATCTGAAAGTGAATTAAAAAGGGATGTAGAGAGATAGAGAGACATCAGCAAAGCAAGAAGAAAAAGAGAAAGAGAAGAGAGTGAGAGAGAAAAATAAAGAGAGGCTGGGGGTGAAAAGAAGGCAGAGAGAGAGTTGCAATGAGAAAGAGAGCGACGGCAAAGCTAATAATAACAAAGGAAACAGAGGAAGAAGGGAGAAAGAGAACGTTAAAGAGAGAAAGCGAGAGAAAGTGAGAGTTTTTAAAAAATGCCGAAAAAGAAAAAGAGAGAGAGGAGAGAGTGTGTGGTCACGGCAGGACAGGTGAGGTAGAGACAGAAGTGCACTTCCTACTGAACAGCCCAAAATATGAAAATATTAGAAATAAATATTTTAATCAATTTGAAAAACAGATCAATAACTTCAGGACGCTGGGAGATAAAGATAAATTAGTAATTATATTAGGGGAGGAGAGGGTCCGTCAGCGTCCACTGCAGCCAGATATGTGTATGAGTGTCATTCACTCCGGAACAGTGAGTGACCACCAAACCACAGCCTTTTCTTTTTCTCACTGTTACATATATATATACACACACATACACACACACATACACACACACACACATACACACACACACACACACACACACACGTAATATAGATGTCCTTTTTTCCTTCTCTTTTTTCCTTGTTATTCCCATAAATATACTTGATAATTAACATTTTTTGTTTTTTTTTGTTTTTCTTTTCCCTTCTCTTCTGTTTCATATTAAATAGGTTTTGTTTTATTATTGCATATACTTTTATATTATTAACTGATAGTTACACTTTCTCTTCTTATTTGTTGCATTGTCATATTAATATATTAATATCTTTTTCATTTTTTGTTGTTTGGTTTTTTATTAACTTTTAATATATAGATCATTTTTATTTTGCTTTGACAATAAATACACATGTGAATTTGTCATGTCAGTAAAGCAAAGTTGAGAAACCTGAGAGAGAAGAATGTCAACGGAGAGAGAGCGAGATAAAAACGGATGTAGAAAGAGTTGGAGAGAGAGACAGTAAGAGAGAGAGAGAGAGAGAGTAAGAAGTGGGGGTGAAAGAGTCAAAAACAGAAAAAGAAAGTTTCAAAAAAAAATCAAGAGAGAGAGAATCAGATTAAGGGTGAGAGAGTAAAAAAGAGAAAGAGGGTGAGAGAAAGAGAGAGAGAAAGCTTTGCAAAAAAGAGATTTAATGCAAGAAAGACAGCCAGAGAGCGAGAGACAAAATAGATGTAGAGAGAGCTGGGAGAGAGCGAGCAACAGGGAGAGTTGAAAGAGAGAGAGAGAGAAAGAGAGAGAGAGAGAGAAAGAGAGAAAAAGAGAGAGAGACAGATAAGAGACAAGGCCGAAGCTCTTACCAGATGTTGGATGTGCCTAGAGGAGGTGGTTCCTCGGCGCTGCTGTAGATGAGAGGAGATAAGACAGATCAACACGGCCACCAGACAAGAATGTGTCTGTATTTTGGCTGCGCTTGTGCTGCGCGCTAAAGGGCTTTGGAAAAAGAAGTCTGAAGAAAAATGGCTGGGGTGAAAAAGTGGAATTCTCCAGTGGCTCAGGGCACTTTATCTCCAGCCTGCAGGTCCTGTGACCCTCTCCTCCTGCTGCTAAACAGACGCTGTCATCACGTGTAAAGAAGACATGCTGGACTCTTCAGAGTAAACTGCTTTAAACAGCAGCTTCCAAAGAAATAAATAAGCTTGGACGACATTTAAATGTGCAGCGCAGGAGAAAGACTGGCACTGAAAAAGAGCACTCTAAAGGAGCCAGATCTCCCAGCAGTCTCGAAAAAAACTTAGACAAAGACTAGACAAAATCAGAATGATTCCCTGTAATTTAACCCCTTAAACAGAAGACTAATTATTCACTAACAACTATGAATTATTTAATAACTACTATGAAACTAAAATATGTTGTTTTGAGGTGAGGAACTGATTTGAACCCTCACATTTTAAGAGGTTTATACAGAGATTAAGTTTTGGGTAAGGTTAGGTTTTAGGTAAGGTTAGGTAAGTTTGGGTGTTGGGTAAGGTTGGGTGTTCGGTAAGGTTAGATTTTGGATAAGGTTGGGTTTTTAGGTAAGGTTGGGTAAGGTTGGGTGTTGGGTAAGGTTAGATTTTGGATAAGGTTGGGTTTTTAGGTAAGGTTGGGTAAGGTTGGGTGTTGGGTAAGGTTGGATAAGGTTAGATTTTGGATAAGATTGGGTTTTAGGTAAGGTTGGGTTTTGGGTAAGGTTGGGTTTTAGGTAAGGTTGGGTAAGGTTGGGTTTTGGGTAAGGTTGGGTTTTAGGTAAGGTTGGGTAAGGTTGGGTTTTGGGTAAGGTTGGGTTTTGGGTAAGGTTGGGTTTTAGGTAAGGTTGGGTAAGGTTGGGTTTTGGGTAAGGTTGGGTTTTAGGTAAGGTTGGGTAAGGTTGGGTGTTGGGTAAGGTTGGATAAGGTTAGATTTTGGATAAGATTGGGTTTTAGGTAAGGTTGGGTAAGGTTGGGTTTTGGGTAAGGTTGGGTTTTGGATAAGATTGGGTTTTAGGTAAGGTTGGGTAAGGTTGGGTTTTGGGTAAGGTTGGGTTTTAGGTAAGGTTGGGTAAGGTTGGGTGTCGGGTAAGGTTGGGTAAGGTTGGGTTTTGGATAAGATTGGGTTTTAGGTAAGGTTGGGTAAGGTTGGGTGTTGGGTAAGGTTGGGTAAGGTTGGGTTTTGGATAAGGTTGGGTTTTGGGTAAGGTTGGGTGTTGGGTAAGGTTGGGTTTTGGATAAGATTGGGTTTTAGGTAAGGTTGGGTAAGGTTGGGTGTTGGGTAAGGTTGGGTGTTATGTAAGGTTGGGTGTTGGGTAAGGTTGGGTTTTGGGTAAGGTTGGGTGTTATGTAAGGTTGGGTGTTGGGTAAGGTTGGGTGTTATGTAAGGTTGGGTTTTGGGTAAGGTTGGGTGTTGGGTAAGGTTGGGTGTTATGTAAGGTTGGGTGTTGGGTAAGGTTGGATAAGGTTAGATTTTGGATAAGATTGGGTTTTAGGTAAGGTTGGGTAAGGTTGGGTGTTGGGTAAGGTTGGGTGTTATGTAAGGTTGGGTGTCGGGTAAGGTTGGGTGTTATGTAAGGTTGGGTGTTATGTAAGGTTGGGTGTTGGGTAAGGTTGGGTTTTGGATAAGATTGGGTTTTAGGTAAGGTTGGGTGTTATGTAAGGTTGGGTGTTGGGTAAGGTTGGATAAGGTTAGATTTTGGATAAGATTGGGTTTTAGGTAAGGTTGGGTGTTGGGTAAGGTTGGGTGTTGGGTAAGGTTGGGTGTTATGTAAGGTTGGGTGTTGGGTAAGGTTGGGTGTTATGTAAGGTTGGGTGTTGGGTAAGGTTGGGTGTCGGGTAAGGTTGGGTGTTGGGATAGGATTAAGTTTTGGGTTGAGGTTAAGGTTAAGGTTAGGGCTAGGATTAAGCCAGGGTTGAGGGTTACGATTAGGTTTTGGGTTGAGGTTAAGGTTTGGGTTAGGATTAAGCCCAGGGTGAGGGTTAGGATTAGGTTTTGGGTTGAGGTTAAGGTTAGGATTAGGTCCAGGGTGAGGGTTAGGTGTTGGGTAAGGTTGGTAAGGTTAGGTTTTGCGTAATTGAAGTAACATATTAACAACACATCTACTTAATGTAAGTGATGTATCAACAGAACATCTACAGGATATTTACCTCAGCGTATTCAGCTGCTTCTCTACTGCTACTTCACTGATATGCTGTTGATGTTTTACTGATACTCTGTTAAGAGTTTATTAATCATCTACAAGGACCACTCAAAATAAAGTGTTAGCCAGACTTGTAGCTCACTGAAACCCTACTGGACGGGCAAATTCTAAACCTTCAACTGATACCACATCTGAGCTTGTAAGGAGAGGAAGTCACTATGAGTTAATAATAATAATAGTAATAATAATAATAATAATAAGAAGAAGAATTTTTATTTATATAGCACTTTGCTGGTGGCAGCTCAAAGTGCTTTACAGACAGATGATAAACATTAATACAATAAACTGTAAGTATTAATTTAGAATCATAAGAATATGACACAGGTCAAATTAAGAGATAAACACCAAGAGACGTAGAGTTTTAATTAAATGCTGAGTTAAAGAGCTGCGTTTTCAGATGTTTATTAAAAGGGAGCTCTGAGCTTGACTGTCTAATAAAAGGTGAACTGAGCTCCACAGTGTAGAAGCAGAATAACTGAACGAGTCTCTCCACGTTTTCTGTGTTTTACTGAAGGTGTTTGTAGGTCAGTATCTGCACATCTAAGATCATAAACAGACACTCTGTGATCTAAGCGATGCTTTAAGGTCATTTAGAGCCTTAAAAACTACCTTAAAAAAGCTGCTTTAGTGACTGTGTTTACATGCAGATACAACAGAGCTCAGAGTCTAATATCACACCCAGGTTTCCTGCTTCAGGTTTGGTATAAGAGGCTAAAGAGCCAAGTTTCTCATAAAGCACCAACGATCAGTATTTCAGTTTTTTCGTAACCTAATTCGATAAAATTTTGTTACATCCGCTGAGAAATATCTGACACACAGCTGGTTAGTCTGTCTACAGAGTCTTGATCATCAGAAGGAATGGAAATGTATAACTGGGTGTCGTCAGCACAGCTATGAAAACTTATATTATGTTTCCTAATGAGTTGAATTTGTTGGAAATATATGTAATAGGTTTTTGTTATTCCCCCACATTAAATTAGACCAAAAAAGTCAGATTCAAACTCAAACCTGTCCATATATAATGTAAAGAGAACAACAATGTAATCACTCTTTAATAGTAAACAGCAAAAAGGCATTAATAACCCTAGAACTGTCAAATCTCTGAATGTTAGTTCTGGACTGTAAATAAATGACAACAGAGTTGCAAAACAGTGACCAGCGAACTGAGTGAGAATTTGAGTGAATTTACTAAAGAATCGCTGTCGGATAAAAACCTTCTCCAAATCTCCAGAACTGTATCTTTTCGGGAGAAGGAAAAAAGATCCTTAAACAATGTAAGTTAATGCAAAAAAGATCTTATACTAAGCAAATATTGACCAGTTGCACTCCATCGTATAGTCCATCTGTGATGAAGCTTTAACACGGAGTGAAGAGCAGGTGGGATCTGAATGAACAGGAAAACAGGACGAGGGATGGGAACAGACAGCAGAGAGAGAGTGTGAGAGAGAAAGTCAGACTCACCAGGTCGGAGGGCTGAGCCGGGACGCAGGCTGAGCTCACCTGAAATGAAGGAGAACATCATGACTCAGATGTATACGCACACAGACATCACCATCACCTGCACACACAGAGCAACAGAGCACTGCCACCATCCCCTTCCAGCTCGGCCCTCGCTCTCTCAGCTCTCTCAGCTCTCCTCTCTTCTCCTCTACTCCCCTCAGCTCTCCTCTCTTCTCCTCTACTCCCCTCAGCTCTCCTCTCTTCTCCTCTACTCCCCTCAGCTCTCCTCAGCTCTCCTCTACTCTCCTCTCCGTGAGCAGGATGAAGGGAAGGGAGTGGTGCGCTGAGATGGGCAGAGGAAATACTTCCTCCCAGTGACAGATAAGAGAGAGAACCATCATACACACACTGCTGACACAGAGAGAGAGACAAACAGAGAGAGAGAGAGAGAGAGGGAGAGAGACAGAGAGAGGGAAGGGGAGGGAGGAAGACAGGGAGGGAGGGAGAGAGAGAAGGAGTGAGAGAGGGAGACATGGAGAAGGAAAGGGAGAGAGAGATAGAGGGATGGAGGGAGAGACACAAGCAGGTAGAGAGACATGCAGGGAGAGGAAGGGGGAAAGAGAGGGAGTAAGAGAGAAAGAAAGGGGGAGAGAGAAGGGGGGAAGGAGCAAGAGAGAAGAAAGGGGGAGAGAGAGGGAGTAAGAGAGAAAGAGGGGGAGAGAGAAGGGGAGAGGGAGTAAGAGAGAGAGAGAGGGAGAGAGAAGAAGAAAATGTAACACAGCACATCTTCAGTTATGGAATTAATATTTCTAATTCCTGATGTTCAAAATGTATTACATTTTTCATATGTACCTTGTTTGTTTTATTTATTTGTTTATTTTTAATTATTATTATTATTATTATTATTATTAATAGTGGTAATGTTAGAATTTTCCTTTTTTTATTGTATTTTATTTTATTACATTTGGCATGTCCATACTCATTCTATGCTTATATGTACTACAATATTTATTTTTGTTTCTCTTTGTTTTCTATTTATTTTCTTTTTTTTCTCCTATTCATTTATATTTTAATAATAATTCAATTTAAGATGTATTTACCGATTTGGCAACATAGGTCTTATATCCTGTCATGCCAATAAAGCATATTTGATTTGATTTGATTTGAGTAGAAGAGAGGGAGTAAGAGAGAGAAAAAGAGAGAGAGAGAGAGAGAGAGAGAGAGAGAGAGAGAGAGAGAGAGAGAGAGAGAGAGAGAGAGTAGAGGAGAGGGAGTAAGAGAGAGAGAGAGGGAGAGAGGAGAGGGAGAGAGAAGGGGAGAGGGAGTAAGAGAGAAAGAGAGAAGAGACAGAAGAGGAGAGGGAGTAAGAGAGAGAGAGAGAGAGAGGGAGTGAGAGAGAGAAAGAGAAGAGGATCCATATTTTGTGTTTAATTTCATTCTACGTTGGTGAAGCACCTGGACTGATCTGCTGTTTATCTCCCACTTTTTAAATTAAACATTTTATTTGCTTAATAAACATAATATGCAATAATAAATCAGATGTACCACAAAATTCCACTGCAGTTCTATAGAGAAAGTTTTTATTTCACTGCGTTTACTTCAGCGGGGGGGCTGGGTTTCTCCGCCCACCTCTACATATATGTTAGGAATGAAGTCCACATTCCCTTGAGTACTGGAAATGGAGCTGACCTTCGACCTTCCCTACGGAGAGAAATGTAGCAGAGTAGCGGTGGGTTTACGTCAGGCAGTGTGCGGGGGGTGTGCGATGGGGGGTTATGTATGTGTGTGTGTGTGCTTACGTAACAGCCCACTGCAAAAGGTCTCACCCCCCCCAGCACATCCGCTCCCCAAGCCGGTCCTGCCCTGTTTGTTTGGCCACAGGAAAAGGGCTGAGGCCCAGAGATCTCAGCGCTGCACCACTGTGTGTGTGAGGTTATCAGAGTGTGTAGTTTAGTGCTACGACACACTGAAACAACCTTGTGTGAGTAATAAGCACTGCTAGGTTTGCTGGAACACTGCGTGTTTGTGTGGATGTTTCCGGAAAATGCGACTGAGGCACTTCTGTGTTTAGAGATAACCGGGAAGAAAGAGGCAGCAGTGGCAGATTTAAAAATACTATAGAAACTATGAATATAGTGATTTTTAATCCCATCCAGCACTAAATCCAATTAAACAGGGCCGATTATGCTCTTCTAATGGAACATGCAACAATTATGATAACAATAAATATCATCATATTGTCTACTCTTAGCGTTAGTGTGTCTTAGAGCGTGTGTGAGGTGGGTGGTGTGTGTTTGCAATTATGAAAGAAAAAGAAAAAAGAACTTTTAGGACGTTAAAGGAATAAATAAATAAATAAGAGAAACATTAGGAGAGCCAATGAATAAGTGTGTGTGTGTGTGTGTGTGTGTGTGTGTGTGTGTGTGTGTACAGTATGTTTGTGTATGTGTTGCTAGGTGGGCTCCCATTATAATATCGAGTTCCATCAGCTCTTGGCTAAAAGGCTGCCATCACATCTGAAGAGAATGGACAGCATCACCCCTCAGAGAGAGAGAGAGAGAGAGAGAGAGAGAGAGAGAGAGAGAGAGAGAGAGAGAGAGAGAGAGAGCTTGAGATTCTTTCGCTGGGGTAAAATTTCATTCCCATATTCTTGGCTGTTCTGCTGTCTATGCACACACATATAAACACTGTGCGTTCAGTTTAGGCTCACCTAAATGTGTTTAATAAGTGAGCATGATTTATAATCACCGAAATCTGTTTAGATTGCAACAACAGCAAAAACGAAAGAACAACTTCAGGACTATCATACCCCACACAACTTACCCTCTTGCCATTTAAACCATTTTGGGTTTTCAATGTGTTTTAATGCATATTTTGTTCTTTTTTTTAGAATAGTTTGGAAAAGAAATCTGAGAAAACATTATTTAGGCAAAGACTTGGGCCCAGTCCCATTTCACCCCTCGCCCCTCGCCCCTACCACTGAGCCCTCACCCCTCCGTTTTGTGTGTTCACGTCTAGGGGTAGGGTGTCCCGATTCTTGTTGAGCTAGAGGGGTGGGGTGAAGTGTTTGGGTTACATGACCCTCCAAACAGAGGTTTTTCAGAGACTCCAAACAGAGTGATTTGAGAAAAAACAAAAACCCGGCAAGATGGAGAACAAGAGACCGAAGAAACCCACAAATGTGAGAATTTTGTCCGTTTAAAATGACAATAACCACTGTATTTTCTTAGTTTAATGTAGCTTCAGTGTATTATGGTCGTTTTCTTCATAACAAGCATGAAAATCGCTAGTAGTATGCTAATGTCTCGGTAGCTAGCTAAACTACCCGTTCCACCTTAAATAGTCCAGCAGGTACATTCTGGCGCCTCAGGTGTCAGAACTGCTACACTGTTTAAGGTGGAACGGGAAAATTCGAACAAGAATCTGGTGAATATCTGACTTCAGCTTCATATCACTGAAGAATTAGGGGTGGGTGATAATAAATAATTGCCCCCCTCTTTGAAGGCATATGATTCCCTAAATGTAACTAAAGCCCAGCAGTGAGGAGCTGAACTTTACCCTCCTCTGCTGTCACTGCAGACTGGCAGGGTCGCCTACAGAGCAGCGCTGGTAGCTGTTAATGAAGTGATGCTCTTTTTATTTGAGGGTCCCATTTCAGAGGGAAGATTTCAACCACTACCCCTTGTACCCCTTTGTCACTTTGAGTAAGCTTAAGCTGAGTGTTACAAAGCAAACTCAAATTAAACATAACCATATAAAATATACCCACAGTAAAGAGGTATTTTATGTTATTATAACTTTTGCAGGCGTTTTTGTAACTTAATGAAATGAATGAAACCTTAAATAGAGAGTAAGGTGTCCCCAAACTTTTGAAAGACAATGTATGCATACAGTCTCATGCAAAAGTTTGAATGCCTGTTTTTTTTTTTAAGTGAAAATAAGTTTGCACACCCTCTACACACTTAAATATGAACATATTTTCTGCAAATTTCGGTGCATAGTTTCTATTTACTTGCTGTGTAAAAAACACATAAAACAACGTTTGCACATATATATTTTTTTCAATATGTTAAATACAGTAAATTAACAGTAATTTTGTGTTAAAATGTGTAGAAATATGTTCTTTGTTTTTCACTTATGTGTAATTTGATCAGGGTCACATGGCAAAAGCGACACTGAACGCCTTGCATCTCTCGCTTATGTTAAGAGGTTAAAGCCCAGAAGCAGCGCAGCATTTAGAAAACCCAAATAGCCTGAAGAAACATCACCCAAAAAATGCAAATTCTACAATTTGCTAGCTAAATATTTTGTGCTGCACGCACATTTTCTGGCTGATATGCCTGGCTTGAAAAGATCACCCATTCAGAAGTCAGAGAAGCTTAAAGAGAAAGGGTGGCAGATCTATTGAGCTCTTCTAATTAAAAACAAAATAACGTATTTGACTATTTATCCATTTAGAGAGAGGATGACTGTAGAACTTGCTTGCTGTATGTGTGAATGACCAACACGTATGAGCTGTAGCATCGGTCTGGTCACGACAGTGTGTGGGAAACAGGCCAGTCTGTTCTCCCACCAGTGAAGTTCCTTGTTTAAGTGGCACCGACAGAGGAAAACTACAGGAAATGTCTAACTACTTCTAATAAGTATGAAATATTAGAGGGTGCATGTTAAAGTTATTAGTGCACAGCATACCAAACACTTCACACCCTGGCTAAGTCCTCCACAGTAAATACCTGCCTACTTTTCAACGCCTCTCCACCAATTCACTTCTTTAACCGTTTAGTGTTGAGCTGTTTCTGCCTTTCTCTCCTATGTTAATAATTTTAATAATTTTTTAATGCTCTTGTTGCATGTAAAGAACACAAACTACCATTTTGAACAAATGAATATACTTCACACTTCAGTTCCTTCAATAAACTCTGAGTATCTGAATTCTCAGAAACTACCGCAGTGCATCCAACAAAAAAGGCAGCATCATGTTTCTTTTACAGAGTGACAGAAAAGCACACAGAAAGCTCCAACTCCACATGCCAACTGTACATATTAATGACCATCAACAG